TTCTGAAATTTAAAAGGTGTACTGACTCTTTTGTAACCTTGCATGTGTATAATTTGCAAGTCACAGGTATAGCTCAAGCTGATCTGTGAGCCATAGTTGCACAACAGTGAAGTGACAATCAATTTATGGCCGGGCAACACTCCTCTTACATTTGGCCAGTAGTTGGTCAGTTAGTGACAGATAATCTACCCAATATAAAAAGCCATCATTGACCGAGAAACAGATCTACTATTGACCAATATATTCTCAATGACAGTAGATCAATAGATGGAGTAGGAAATTGGTGAGAAACTTCATCAAGGAATAGTACTGTTTCCTTCATGTATATGATATTTTCTTTTTCTTGATGTAGGCATACAGCATTCATGCTTCTCTCAGCATTGCAATTGCTAATGAGATTTTGTCTTGTCCTGATGCTCCCGGTGTGCGAGTTCTGTGCAAGGTACTGACTATGATGGACTTGACTGGCTGTACACAGTCCACAGTCAAGGAAATTAAAGTCCTTACAGGAAGGCTGATGGAGGTAAACATGATGTGTGTATCTTTGTATTTGTGAATGTGCTCATCATGTTCAGCCCACAATTTTTTTACTGGTGTCACAAAAACTTAACTCTACTGATGTAACACCCTGGTATTCTCAGCTAGCAGATTGTCTCAATTACAATACAAGCTGTCATGTTAAGATTTTAAAATGCACTCTTCATGTAGCCAGGCTTTACAGAATAAGTTGGGCTACTTAAGGAGAAAAGTGGTTTCAGTTTCCTTTTAAGGGAATATTGGTGATCTGGCAATCAGTTTTTTTTTTTCAACATTAGAGAGGGACAAGTTCAAGATCTGATTGTTAATTCTTCCCTCTAGATGATTTACATTTCCATGTAAATTAGTTATGAGAATTTGGTGTTAGATCAAGATAACAATGTCTAAAAAAGTTTGAGTATTCTCATGGCCTGTTTGCTGTAGGGATATTATAAGGAGAAGTAAAATGTCAATCTCTTCTGGGAGGTAATGGGTTTAAGAAGTCTCATCTCAATACTTTCACAATTTTAGTGTCAGTAATGTAAATTTTAGTTGTGTATTTATTGTAGTGTCTCACAGTCTTCCTGACAAGACAGACTATACATCTCAAGCCTTGATACCTGTTTGTATGCATGTGTTAATTCAGAACATTTAGATTCCTTTTCCCAGTATTTTAAATGCTGCTCATTATTTTTATCTATTTTCCAGGAAATTGAAGAGAATATGTCCCTGAAATCATTGAGCAAGTTAAATAAAATGCTGGAAACTCTCACAGATAAGGAGATTGGTGAGAATAAACCTGGACTTAAAACAGGAGCTATCTCTAGTTTGGATGGCTGCATGGATGAATAAGTTTTGTTTCTGAATCCCATGAATTTTCTTTGGCGTCTACATGTAAATGACTCTAAACACATTGAATTATTATAGCTTATTATTAATACAAGATTTATCCATAGATTTAATTGTCAATAGACAAAAAGAGCAAAAGAAGATTATCTAATAATGCTAATTTCCATGTGTATTGGTAAACTGACAAGTAGGTGATGTGCATAGACAAGATGAGAACAAAAACTAGCTGGTAATATATCTTACATGACACCAAAATAATTTTCCTCTCTGATTTACAAGGAAGTGCATGGCATTTGCCAAAAGGAACTGATAGTCACATATTTAGCATTTAAAGACTTAATTGGGGTCCTGCTAGCTTAAAAATGGAAATCATCTGGTTATAGATAGTGTCTCACAGACTGAATTAGACAATGGCAATCAGGAAAATGCAGAGAAAACAGAGGAACCCAATGAAGGTACTATTAATGAGAAAGCTACTGTTGATGACATAGACACTTGGCAAAGATTAGAGGAAAATACCTGTGTACCTCAAGAACAAGCAGAATGTAACACAGAGGATACAGACACCATGGGTGGTAGGTTTTGACATAATCTGAAAAACTAATTTTTTGTTCATTTTTCTTTGCCAAGCTTGGTTAGAATTATTTTAAACAAGGGCTTGGAATCTTTAATCTTGCAAGCACTGTGTCCCAGTTCTTGTCATATCTTTCCCAAATCAGTTTGAAGTTCTCTCTATCAATCCTCTCATCCATATCACACCAATTTCTCATATTTGCAGACAAAAACTCTGAAGTCCTGAATGAAAACCAAGCTGACAACAAACCAAAAGAAATTAAATCAAGAAGAAAGAGTAAGAAGCAAGTAGGGTCAAAGTCAGTTGCCAGGGATAAAGAGCTTAGGTATGAAAAGCAGTGATATGATGGGTCCCTAGCACTGGGTGAAAACACTCTTAATAAATGGGTCGCTTTTACAACAATTCAACTTTCACACTTTCACAGCTTGGTTAATAAGGTAAATAATCAAACTGAATGTGTTAAACAGGCATTTTTCAAAAATTAAATTATTTTATAGTTTTTTTCTGAGCTAACAAATTTTGTAATTTCAAATGCATTTGCTTTTTTCAGTACCAATGTTTCTGCTACTTCTTAAATTGGAAGATTTTTTAACTCCTTCATTAGAGACAGACCAAAAAAAAACCAATTAGACTTCTCAATTTCCTAAACATTTTGTTACCCATTTTAAAAACAGCCCTGTTGCTTTGGGTGAGGAAACACCAGCTCGGCAAACAAGATCAAGCAGGTATGGCATAGAATGTTTTTTTATCCACAGAAATTCACTTGAGAAACATTTACTTTGTAATTTAGACAGTTGTAAAACATAATAGTAATGGGTGGTAAAATGTGAAATATATGATCAAGTTGTTTTGTTCTGATGTCTCACTTTCTTTCTTGTGTAGAAAAAGCAAGACAAATGTTAATAAAATGGTCGAGTCTGTGATAGATTCAGAGGACAATGACAGCAATGGAAAAGAAAATGTTTCAAGCAATGATGCTGATGATGTGTTCCTCAAATGATTCACTCACTTTGCATGTGCTGTGTCAACATTTCACATTAGTTTAACTTGCATTTCTTCATAGCACTTTAGGAACCTGTTGTTCATAGTTAATAAGTCTAATAGCAGTTGCTGGTTTTTTAAATGTCATGGTTAAATGATCTAAACATGTACAATGGTAAATCTTAAAAGTTCTGTATAATACCATTAGTGGTAAAAAGGGCAACTTGTTCTCCCTTGTTGCAATACAAACAATTTTGGTGTCTACTTTTGTTGAAAGAATTGTTGCTGAAATGGTGGATTTTGTCTCATGTAGATGACTGTTCAAGTGTATGTAATGGTATCTGTAAAATTATAATATTATAGAGACTTTTCAGAAATGCTGTAAAACTGGATATATTGTTGTCTTCTAGATTTGGTTTGATATTTCTTTTGTCAATAAAATAAGATTACTGTCTATTTGTCACAGTGGGAGACAAAACAATGTTTTGTTTCAAGACCTTTGTTATAGAACCCTTCAGAAATAGAATTCTACCCAATCTCTCTCTCAATTAGTATGTGCACTACAATTGGTCAATAAGGCAAGCTGCACTATGCCGCACAGCTGCTTAATTCAAAAGTTTGTTTTAATTGAAATCTTTTCCCTTTACTTGGACCCAGTGATGTAATAAAATACCTTTCAAACCTTGTTTCATACTTTTAGTTACAGACCCTTTTTGTTTTCTTTAATTTGGAATTGTGGCCTGGGCTTCAGTGCTTGGGCTCTAAATCCAAGCAGAAAAGAATGTGACTGTAACTTACAGCACAGACTTCAAACTTGGTTAGTATGAGGTTTGTGCACGAGCCTGCCCACATGCCTCAGGAAAGTTAAAAATTTGAACCTTGAGTCATAAATACATACAAGACATCTACTACTAAGAGGACGAACAGGTGGGGTATGATTAAGGTTATAAATGACCTAACAGGAAGAATAGACAGATAAATGTACAGCTCAACATTAAGATAGTGGTTTAATCTGTTATTGTGAATTGTAATTACCTAGAAGCAATGTTGAAAAAAAAAAAAGTGACTATTTTTACATTCCATGACATAAAATTTTACTTTTTAGCCGGTTATCTTTTGCATTGTTAACACATTTAAATATAAATAAGAACATTGTTATCAGGACAAAAATCAAAACCACATAAATAAGTACACTACTAAAAGATTTCAGAAGTAATATAAGGACTAGGATTTAGGAATCTTGGTCACAGAGGGGTGACAGGAATGGTTTATAAAGACAGGAAAGAAGTCCTGCACTGAAGGAAGCAACAATCAGGCATTAAACAATATCAATTGCTGAATGCAAAGTGAATACTGTCCAATAATCCCTCAGACAAAATGAACAGGGTTCTGGGGAGAATAAATTGTTCATTCAGTATAAGTACTCATTGACAAGTGATAATTAGTGCAATTGCATTTCCCCTTTTTTTTCTCCTTCTATAGATAATTGCTTTGGTATTACAATCAGCTCACACTGGGTGGTTATGGCCAGAAATGACATCCTTGACCAATCAGGCTACAATACTCTAAGATCTTCTATGCAATTACAGATATTTTACCAATCTTTATTATAATACAAAAACCCCCTTAAATAGCCCCTTTCCTGGTTAGAAAACAAGTGGAGGAAGAGAGAAGTTACAAGAAAGACAGGGTAAGTGAATTTTCTTCACAAAGAAGGTAGCTCATGACAAAGAAGGGGATGGGTTGATACAGACTTGACAGAATGTCTTAAACATTGTTTCAGTAAGCTAAGAAATGAGACTAAATATGATAAAAATCTATGGATAGTAATCAAATTGGTAATCAGGTATACATATACTAGTTAATATGTTAAAATGTCCTCAGGAAAATTATGAACCAATATTGGTATTTGAGAATACAGCAAAATTATACTACTGAAAACACAATCTACTTTCCATTACTTAGACAAGCAATTTTGAAATATTTGAGAAATACAATTAATAACAACTTTACTACATCTTGACTTTACTCAGAAGCAAATTTCAAATGAAGGAACAAAAGGAAAAGCCAACATAATGGATAATTTTTGCCAAAGCCCCAAAAAGCATTTAATTAAAATATATACACCAACATGACATGCAAGAGGTTTTTTACACAGGACACCATATCCTTGTCCTAAACTAACACTCATATGATGCATTTGGAACAACAGGAAGAGTACGTGGCTTTCTAATCCTCTGACTTCGTCTAGGCTGACCTCTTGAGCTGGCATGCTGTTCAAAGTAATAAAAAGTAATAAGAAAGGGGGAAATGAGATGCTTGGTAGAGATCTAGACAATCTTCCTTTGAGTCCTGCTTTGTGTTCTGGTCTGAAACAAAAGGGTTAATAGAGCTACCAATTAGTATTGTCAAGGCTATCTTTGGTAGGAACACACTGACATATATAGTTCAATTGCACAACATGAGGAGTAAGAAATGGGAAATATATTTTAAATAAAGCAGTTTTCAAAGTAATCTATGTTTTACTGCTCAAATTCCAGCACAGAAAAATTGAGTTCCACAGTTAATTTGGAAAAAAAAATCAAAATTGAGGAATGAGAAATTAGTATTACTTTCAACCAGTACACCATCCCATGGATCAGTGTTTCACTTAATAGAATTCACTGTTAGTCATGATTTAAAATCTTTTTTCTTTTAATTTTTGCCCCTCTACCTGATACCAATTATCATGCTGGTAGACCTATGGCACATGACAATTAAAAAATTTAACAAGAGAGTTTCACATAACATTAAACTGTTGTGTGAGTTTGCTTAATAAGTGGACTTTTTCCTTGACCATTAGGTCAATGGCACTTGCTGTGACATAACTACTATTAGCAAGATTCAAAGCTCATTGCCAACAAAATGTCTGAGAACTGATGGTGGGAAACTTGCTTCTGAGGAAAATTTAATTTACAAGGTTATGACAAGGTTTTAAGTAAGAGCATAAAACAAAATTACACTATTTTCATAATCACAATAAATTATATGGTGTAAAGTAAATGTATGCTGCTTTTTCTTATGGTTTTTGGTACAAGAAAAATAATTTTATCATTCAAGACTGATGTCAACTTCTTTGATTTCCATGTTTGAAGCAATGTATTTAGCTGAGCATTCAAAAATATTCTTGGATTTTAATTTTTTTAACTTAACCTAAACTTCCACATTATGAGGGAATTAATTTTTTAACTTTTAAAACATTGAAATTATTCAAATTACTAGCAATCACATACACATTTATTTAAAATAAAGGTTAAAAGATTATCTCCAGTAAAACTGAAAACAATTTTTTAATTCATGGCTAAAATCGGCTCATTTGGTAAGTATTATTACAAATTAAAGCAAACAGTTGGATTAATAACAACCATTCTTACTCCCCTGAAAACAACATTTTTCAATGAAACATTTTCATTGCAATAAAACTGCTGCTTATCTCACCTCATACTGCCTTGGGAGGGTAGTTGACTGTAATGATAAAAATACATTTATATTTAAGTTTATGAATCAAAGTAATTAATATCATGTTTTACTCCAATCATCACAAAAAGAACTCAAACTTGGAAAACAAAAGTAAGGGAGGTTTTGAACAAAACCTTCAAATTGGCAAATTTTTACCCACAATCACCAAAATATCATTAAGTTATCATTATGAAGAGTAACACAACATTAATTTACCTCAAAATGATCATAGCCTGAGCCATGGACTCTTGGACGGTTTGAGGGTCTCTACAATAAAACCAGAAGACAACAAACAGGTATCTTACAAGAGAGCTCAAAATTGTTCTTTAGCTACAAAGATACCAGGGAATAGTTACTTTTCCAGAAATTGTACCTCAGAGATAAAATCAAACTTACCCCATGTGAACGTGGAAGAGTTGCTGACCTATTGATGTCTGAGCCATAGGAGGAAGCTTTTTTCATTCCTTTAGTTTTAGTTTCTTCTGGATACTCCTTTAACTCATCCCTTAGCTTTTCACTAAAAGAAAAAATGGGAAAAAGCTTAAAATAATAAAACACCTTGTTAACAATTGAAAACCATGTAAGTTCCTGTCAGCAAACATGTAGAGGAATATAGCTGTGCATAAAAATATTCCAGTGTTGAAGAACACATAACAGGCTTTTCATTCTTTATTACAGCTACTAGAAGTGAAAAATAAAATTAACGTAAAACTGGCTTACTTAAGATGTTAGACTGGAGAAATATGAGCTTGGTTATGCTGATTAAGGGGATAAAAATGCCCCAATAACAACTTGTACAATATCTCCTGCACATACCTCTCTGGGTCAGGATTGGCTGAATTCTCCTCCTCCTCTTCCTCTTCTCTCTCTTCTATGAGACTAAATTCTTCAGATTCATCAATTGGCACATAATCATTGTCTGTTGAATTCATTCCACCATACCATGATTTAGCCTTGCGAAGCCTGGCTTGTCTATGGTCTGTTACATCAGTGCCATAATGACGTAGCTTCTCTGCCAGGACAGTTTGACCCTGCAACAAAATGTATAAATTTTTGCTTGTTACTTAAGCAGCTTTTTAGGTAGCTAGTAAAACCTAATCACTCTGGCATCTAAATCAAGTGCTCTTTCTGAAAGAGAAGTTTAAATATAACTGAGTTTGTCAGAGTGCCACATTTGCTTAAGAATAAAGAAAGATTACCGTGGCAGCAGTCTTTATCATAGTGTCAGCAGCAATGGACAGACCATTTTTACTGACTCTCAAGAATGTGTCATATCCACTCTCTTTCAGCTGTGAAATGTAACTGTCAATGTCCTGTAGGGGTACAGAGAGTACAAAGACAAATGCAATCAATTATTGACAACCAATCAAAAAGTTACAAAATTTTCAGAGCAATTTTGAGTAACTGTCTTGAAAAAGTAATCTGGTTGCTTTGACTTTGCTTAACCAATCCCTGAGGTTGGTCTGGAAACCTGGCACCAGTTTCTCAAACAATGAAATACAAAAATAAAACCATTCCTCTCCCTGTACATTGGAACCTTTCCTTGCATGAGCCTCTGGGCCTCTTGTCTAGTTAGCCTTTGTTTTAATTGGTTATGGTTTTAGAAGTTAAACCTTACATGTCCCTTCTTTTTTCTTATCACATTTTGACATCATCTGTGATATATTATTGTACAGATTCACAGAAACATGGAACCTATTTGTTAAGTTAAATTGTTTGCTTGTACATAATAAGAACTAAAGAAAAGACCAAATAACAAAAAAACACCACCACCATCAACCATGCATACATCATTTTTACTAACATTTTCATTGCGAGATAACCATGGATGCACAAATTTACGATACAGAATGCTGGATCCCTGAAGAGAAAATAAAATTCAATATATGAACTTGACAAAATCTGCTCATTGTGGCCATAAAATACAAACTCTTAACCAAGAGATTTACAAGAAGAGAAAGAAGGTAAGTGGTAATAGAAGAATGCTTATAAAAACCAATAATATTTTTGTAAAACATGGATATAAAGATTACCTTTGTTGCAGGTAACAAAAGCCAAAGCATGAATAGTATCTTAATTTCATAATAGAAGGGGAACCTAAAAAGAAACAACAAAAGAAATGCAGTACATCCCCAACAATTAAATCATAAAAATTCACACCTTATAATATCCAGTCCACAAGCAGACAATTGTTTGGAAACACGAAATTGAAATGCCATTTTTTTCTCTACACTGAATAAACATGATCCAGAATGACATTCCTTTTTTTTCACCTCCAGGAAAGTCCTCGCATATAGGAATGATGTCTACTAAAATCACCATTCTACATCATATGATTGTAGATTTAGAAAACATTGTCATCTCTGATAGAGGTTCATACTGCTAAATTAGAGAGCTCCACCTAGACATGGCAGGTTTTGTATTCCATGACAAATGTAAACTTTCTTATCATTTGCAGAGTACAGTCCTTTAGATCTGGATGTTGACACACACTTTAATGACATGAGCTTTGCAGTTAAGCTCTTTCTCAGTAAGAAAAGGAATACAGTAGATAAAGTGTTCATCAAGTACACACTTTCTAGAATGTTATTACTAACAGTTTCCTGCTGATTGAAGAGAAAAAAGAGGCTTTCAAGCCTTCTTGGGTTAACAGGTAACAAAACTGAATTTCATTTTCCAAAACAATCGAAATTGGTTGGCACTAAATATAAGAAAAAAATAAAGGTGCTCTTACTTGAAGATAAAAAGACACATCTTATAAACAATATTATTGCTGATAAAATGGAAAGAAAGGATCCCTTGATGTCTATCAACCTTTGCAGACATATCTGTCACTTACTCTGGTCCCTTTGTTATCAGAGTTGTTAATGGTATTAATTCACACTGACTTGTGCATTCTTTGGTGCATATTTGTTACATAGTTACATAAAAAAATAATTGATTTTTGTGGCCTATTAGCTCACAAGAAAGGTAAGTTTTCATTACATTGGAAAAAGAAACTTGACCTATCTTTTTTATCTTATTTTGAATGGACAAATAATTTTCTTTCTAAATTTAAGCTATATTCTTTGAAAAGGAGGGCTGGTATCAAAGGGCCTCCAAACCCAAAACAACCTTAAAAGGGTAGACAATGCTGTATTTTCCTTGTAAGTCCTGCTCCTATAAGAAACATGCATAGAAAAGCCATTCTCTGTTGTGGTTGGTGTATCGTGTAAACAGCATTATTAGAAAAGCCTCTTTCTACTGTGGGTGATCAACCATGTAAACAGTATTATCAATCCTTTGAAAAGACACAGCCTGAAAAACATGTATGGAATGAATAAATATACTTACCAAAATCCAAGTAGAAGATCAGCAAAGAGTTCTAGTGTGATAAAGAGAGCAAATACTATCCAATACATCATCCATCTGACCTGAAAACACACAGAGACAGTTTTGCATTTAAATATACATAAACATATTTGTATTTTCATGAAAAATGTTATAATACATCAAAAACTTTGCAGTTCAGTCTATTACTGTTGAAGTTAGGCTGCAAAAACTGAAAAGATTCATCCTAAAATCTTACACTAGTTAAGAGAATTAACTTCATGTTATCACATAACCCCCTCAAAATAGGCAAAACAGAGTCTTCCTCGTTGTAACAGAATTTTCCCTGACCCATGGAAACAGTTAATTTCAAGCAAGGATTTGTACTCAATAAACAAATGTCTTTCATCAGTTGCTTTGGTCACCTATGTCAGTGTCAGTTGCTTTATGTAAGGGTGTTAAGATTACAGTTTTAACATTTCTTTTTAAGACAAACTGAAGCTAATCCAAACAGTAAACAAGAACTGGCCTGCTTAACACCTTTAATACTCTAAGAAATACTGTAAACACGACAGCTGATTAGGAATGTGTATTATCTCGATATTGTTTGCCCAGCATACATTCAAATTCATGCACGGACGACATCCTTTGTCATTCCATGCAAATCAGAGTCTTTTCTCATTTGCAAATGAAAAACAAGACTGCAAAATACTATCATTTAATCTAGTCACACTCTTTAGGTCACAAAAATATTGACCATTCTATTTTCTTTTTCTTAAGACAGACTGGGAAAGAGAAAACCTCTGCTGAAGAAAACTGACAGTGGCAAATAAAAAAGAAAAATAGAATGGCTATGAAGTGTAAATATGTTAATATGTAGCTGGTACAAAGTTCTAAGGTATCTCTCATGTGGAGGTGAATGCTGGATTCCAAAAATGAAATCAACTTTAGCACTTTGAAGATTTTTTCTCTGATGTACTGACAAAATCTCTAGCTCTTAGCTCTTTTGTTTGCACAGCTAAATGTTTCAATTACAGCACCGAATAATCTGTAATATTAGAATATGCGATCTAAATGGTGTTTTTTTACTTTAAGCCACATATTTTCATTGGATTTTGGCAGAAATTCAAGGCTACATACTAGATTTAAAGCCAATTTATTTGAAGAGCTGAAACAGAAAAGCAGATCTTTCATATATTGCATGTTCAAGCACAACAATGGACAGACACAAGTCAATACGTATAACGTAGAACTGGTCCGTTAATATCAGGGCGGCCTAAATTGTTTAAAGTGATAAGGTTCATGTCCCAAGAGGCGCTATCCAGCTTAAATGGTGCAATAAAATGAAGATATATATACTCAACCACTCTCAAGATTGAATCTAGTTTGAATTCAAAGATACTCAAGGACTGTTTCCTTAGTGGGCCTGCCTCCGCTGCCGTAATCGATGCTGATCGTCAATAAATGTACGCGAAAACACAAGCCAGAATAATTATCAAGCATACAGTTTTAAGCTAGAACATAACCGGATGCTAAAATCTAGGTACTCGATGGTTGCAAATCAAAATTCTCGTCATCGTGACGGTGAACAATTAATTAGCACGAGAAGCTTAGAGCTTGAGTTAATGAGTTCTAACTCTACTGTTCGCACTTTGATTATTCCAGACTGTACCCTTATCTTTACTTAAACTAGTAAACACTGATATTAAAACACAATGTCGAGTCTGAAGCGCTATCGAAAAACAACATTCCAAAAATCATCTATCGAGCAGGACAGGAAAAAAATAGGAAAACATTACAATGGAAGCATGAAAACAAAGAGCAGATACTCATAGGAAAGAGATATCTTACATATTCGCGGACATTCTTTGTCTTGATAGCTTTATATGAATAATACGCTGGATAGAGAGTTCCAAACACGAGCCTGTTTGAATGGAATAGGAGATAATCGCATTTACTTTATTTTGAAAAAAAAGAGAATCGAAAACCGCGCCAATACTTACATGATAAGTCGCGACGCCACGTACGAAACCATTTTCTACGCTAACTGTGGCCTCTAGTCACAATCCTCTGCCTTGGTTTAACTCATAGTCGAATAATAAGCCATGCGGCCGCCAGATATATTTTTAAGCAGGAAAAACGGACGTGACGGATCAGTTCCTACCAACCTTCGGTTGCTTTTTGTTTGCAGAACTATTTCTGCAGTGATATTGGTCAGCGGAAGACTGGTTGTGACGTAATTGCACTAAAGTGAACAAAACGAAATATGAAAGAGGATGAAATTTTTAGTTTCTTTAAATGCCTTCTACGCGTCTTGTAAGTACTATCGATTCAAAATTCCGTTCTATACCTTTTTCAGTTTCTTATGCATACCACACTGAGAATGGGTCGGAATGAAGCAAATTATCTCGCCATGTATTACAACAACCAAGCATCCATCACGCATTCAGACGGGCTCCACGCGTTATGCAATATTATTAAATACCTAGACTTTCACTCAACAAAACGAGCACTGTGATTGGTTGATTCTTGGTCACGTGCCCCTGATCAAATTCAAATCTATTATGACCGGGATGCAATTACGCAGTTGTTGCCCGCGCGCCGATTACAACAGCACATGATTGTTTAAGGGAAAGTCTAAATAGATAAGAAGGCACTAATGTATGGTCCCTCGGGAAACTAGTTAGTTTTGTTTCCCTCAAGTCCTGATCTTTCCCGAGACGATATCGAGGGAAAACCAAACTAACTGTTTCCTTCGGTACCATACATTAAGTAAACTGAGACGGAAAATAAACTTTTGATGGTTATTTTACTGTAAGGGGTAGTGACACCGGGATCATGGGAGCCCTTAATGATCTGTGCAATCAACATAGTTAACGAGTTATCCATTGAGAAGGATGTCGGCCGGTTCATCAAAGACAACCGTCGGTAAGTAGAGCTATGGTATCCGTTAGATGACAAGTCGGCGACGTGACCAAGTCGCGGTTCATCATGGCAATCTGTAAGCTCTTATATTTAGTTTTACTTTTTATAGAAATGATTTGCACTTAATTAGTGTTGGAAATTTTACTCGGCGAGAACTAAGAACTATATTGGCTTGTAAAACTATTTGAAAGTAGAACAGAGAATTCCAGGTCCCACTTGATTTACCCGACCGCAATTTCACATGTTGTCCTATTCATGACGTGGAAGCAGGTGAAGCGTTGTTACATTTCACGAATGTTTAAATAAAGTGAGCTAAAATAAGTATGATCCAGTTAAGCTTGTCTTCGATTAGATCCTCCAGTAGAATGATTCCAAGTCTTTGGCGTGCGGGTACGCGTGGCGCAAATTTCATCATTCTTTCCGGTCAGCGGTTTCTCATCTACGTGGCTTACGATAATGGAGTTTCGTGTCCAAATGTTCAGCGTGGGACTAGAGTTTCCCCGTAATAAAAAGTTGCATCACTTTTCTATCCTTTACTCTAAATTTGAGATAGGAGGAAGGTGAGCTTGAAATACAGAATGTTGCAGTATTTGGCGATACTTGTTCTACTGACGTCCGGTAAGTTAAGTTTTATTTGATGTTAGGTCATTGTGCAGGAGAACAAAGCTTCTCTCAAATCATAACTTTCATGATTATCTCGTACTGATTTATCAGTCATCGATTTCAGGTTCTGCATATTAAATGGTGTCCGAAAAATGCACTGTTATGATAAGTAAGAATTTGATTGATCACTGGTGTTTGATATCCACATGTATAAAGGTTTTGCTACACATTTTAATTCATCTGTCAGGAAATTACAAGAACCGTATAACCCACTAAAATCTTTGTGTTGGCGCTTGTCGCCCTCGATTTGATCAGTACTTCTCCCTACCTGTACATGTGAATTAGTTGGTGAAGTTCGGCACCCTATCAAAATGATGAGCAGTGATGAGTTTGTTTTTCTCTTTTTGTTTTTCATTTTTCCATGATTAACTGATTAACATGATTAACTGTTGTTTTGATAATGTAGGGAGAAATTAAATATCGGTCACTTTTGATGATAGTAAGAGAGTACCATAAATCTCATGGATTTTTTAATGGTTTCTTTAGTCATCAAGTAAGATCTAACAATCTATCTCTACCCTCTCAATTCTATCATGTGATACATTTCAACAGATAGGTAAAACAGATTACAAGCTGTGGTTGATGAATTCAGAAGTAATTATTGTTTAAGCAAGAAACTCTATAGTTTCGTTTTCAGCTAATTATGGAACAAATCAGAATGTATTTGTTAAATTGAATAAAATCCCATCATTTGAATTTTAGTGACCCAAACTTAACTTGACGGATTAATAAGAAAATTTTTTTTAGCTGCAAATAGACTATTTTCTTTATATTTACCTATGGATTTGAGGATCATGGATAGTGGAATCATGTAATTAAATAAATATATTATATCGATATAAGTGAGCTAAAACCTATCTATATTTAAAAGCCATATTTACATTATCTACATAGGTTTCTAGGAAACCGTTATTTAACCCCTAAGAGTGACTAGCATCTATTTTCCCCTTATAATATCCCCTGAATCAAACATAAAGGTCATGAGAGTTATGGAAATGATACTGAAAACAGTATGGAGAATGTGCATACTAATCTTAGTGTGTAAAGGGTTAATTGACTGGAACTGAAGTATCTACAAACATAAAGGTCTTGATTGTTAAACAAGATCTCCTTGTCAGCACCTTAGGAAATATACAGAAAACAGTATGGAGAATGTGCATACTAATCTTAGCGTGTAAAGGGTTAATTGACTGGAACTGAAGTATCTACTTTGGTCCTTTAACTTTTTTCTTAGTTCATAGTACATATTTCTTAATTTTTTTTTATACCAACTGATTGTAGTGATGCCAAGAAGCAACTTGGAGTTTCTCAATAGCTCATTTTACTATAATTCTTTTTTATTGTCTCAAGCTTTGGGAGACCAGCAACAAGGACTTGTTTTGGTTAAAAGTGATGATGACGACACCAATGATGACGAAGTTAAGGTAGCACCTAATACTGAACAATTTGATGAAGAAGACCTTGAAGTTTTTCAGCCATCATCAGAATGGCAGTCTATCAAACCAGGTCAAAGTATTCCAGCAGGACTCCATGTGCGCATGAACCTACAAACAGGAGAGAAAGAAGCCAAACTTATGGAGGGAGATGATGGAACTAAATTCAAAAATAACATGGACTCAGAAAAGAAATTTATCACAATTGATAAAAATGTCATTTCAAAGCAACGTCTTAAAGAGGCTCTTAAGGATTTTAGGGATAAATTTCATGATGAAAGCGCTCAAGGGGAGCATTCTGACCAAAGTCATGGTTCATTGACTGGAGGTGAGTTTTAGAAAATCCAACCTTAGTTTTATTTACTGACATGAAACCTATTAAACAGTTGGTCAACAGTTATGTTTTTTTTTTCATCTGTAAGGAATTTGTTTGAAACCAAACACATTAGATATAACTTTACAGTATCTATATTAGACTGGCAACCCTGTTCAACAGTTCCTATAGTTGTTCATTGAAGATGGTTGCTTTAGCTAACCTTTTAACCCCAGAGGGTGACTAGAATCTGATTTCTTCCTATGGTATCACAGCTGAATTAAACATTGGGCTCTTGACAATTTAAGAAAAGTTTGCAAACTTGAAAAGCTTCAGATTTTTAACTAAATTCTCCCTGTCAGTGCCATAGTAATTGTATAAAGAATGGTATAGAGATTATACATGCTGATGTTAGGGTGTAAAGGGTTATTAATAGATTGATGTTTCACTGTGCAATCCATTTCATAGCTAGCAACATTTAGGTTTTATTTTTTGCAGGGAAAACATTTAGGTCAATAGATGAAATCCGGAAGGAATTGGAAGGAGTTGATCTTTTTCTGAAAAAGGATATTGAAGAAATTTCAAAACATGTTGAGATCCTGAACACTTCTAGTTCCAGTTTAGCAGAGAAGGAGTATGCCCTTGATGAGCTTGAGTATTATGTTCATCAGATAGATAATGCCAGAGATTTGGACACTATTGGTGGACTCTCCCTGGTGATAAAGTTTATGAACTCCTCTCAAGAGAGCCTAAGAACAAGGGCATGTTATGTTCTGGGATCAGCAGTGCAGAGGTAGTGCTGTTTTTATCAATAATGATAGTTTTTGGGATATTCAAGTACTGAACTGATAATATGTATCACTTTTGTTGAGAAAATGGATCTTGGAGGCTTAATAGCCAACTGCTTTTTTTTTGGGAAATGTGTTCCCACTCTTTGAAGAACAGACCCAACAAAACAACAGCAAAATCAAGCCCACTGATCTGAGGAAGGTGCTTAAGTCTCTTGTTCCTACCCCTATTATTAACCAGTAAAGAACTGGAGCTCTCCTGTAGAGCCAAGACATTCAAATTGATTTATCTTTTTTTCAATTTATTTACTTGTAATTTGGTGATGGTGGGCTTTATGGTTAATCCTCCATACACATGTAAATTAGCCTTTCTGATTTCATCAAGAGGTTTGAAAACAAGAGAATTTTTTCATCCAAAAGGGAGGTCCTGAAGGCTTATTTTCACATAAATAAAAAAAACAATTACCATACCCATTATTATGAAAAATGTGCATTACCTAAAGGGCTAAAATATGAAGCTATGGCAGCAGAGAAGAAGGGCATGTTAATAAAACATAGTTGATAAATGATGGTTACATTAAGATGATTTATAAGGGGTTTGATATGGCATTTTGAAAACCATGTTTACATGGTTTTGCAAGAATGACTCTTTTTTGACTTGTTTTGTTGCTTATTTTTCTCTTTTGCTTGTCCAAAACAGCAATCTAATGGTTCAGCAATCAGCCTTGAAACAGGGTGCATTACCATTACTTCTTCGCTTGTTGTCCAAACATGAACCTATGGCTGTGCGAAAGAAAGCCATGTATGCACTGTCCTCCCTCATCAGATTGTTTTTGGTGGGACAGAAAGAATTTCTTAAGCTGAATGGACTTGAAATGTTTGTCAAGCTCTTTAATGAGGCAAACACAGAACCTCTGGTTATCAAAGCAATCACTCTGATGACAGATATACTGACAGAACAAATTGAATATGTCACAAGTCTGCTGAGAAAGCAAGGACAGGATGTTTCTGGTGATATCTCTGGGAGGTATGGTTTATGTTTCTTTTTGTGATTATAGTACCTCTATAATTATTTTTATGTGCACTTTTATAATTATAATATATCAGATTATTTCTTCCCTTACCATGTCACCAGTAAAATCAGATTTGATCAATATACTTTTTCTATTAAGGTAGTGAACCAACATTGTGAAGGTCCTGTGGCCTTAGTTACTTGCTTCTAAACCCAATATTTCATGTGTAGCGTAACATTTCAGTCCTTGACATTTTATTTCTTGCTACATCATATCAAGTTGGAAACCAATTATGTACTTTTGCCATAATATTTAACTAACTACAGAGCCTTTAACTCTTTAACACCTGGAAGTGATTAACAAGTAACTTCTCCCTATAGTATCTAAACATTATCCAGCAAACAGGTCATTAGAAAATTCAAACTTATCAGGTTGAAGTTGTTATCTCAGTCTGACCTTATACTCTTGCAACTTATTTACAAGGAAATATGCAGATCTTGAGAGTTAAAGAGTTAACAGTTTGCTTTCCAATTAAAAATCCTAAAAACCAGAATAATGTTGTCAAGTTAGTGTCAATAATTATAAGATGATGAATTTAACATAGCTTGGGAATGATTTCCAAGGTTGCTAATTTTGAGTCCTGGAAGCTGTTCTTGATTTTGTGATATTGTAAAATCAGGTATTTCCTAGACTAAATACAGCTCTGATTGACAAATATGAATAATAGATTTTAATGCTTTTCATTAATTACAGGGTCCCTTTGTTAAAAAGCATGATTGAAAAGGGTTGGTGCCAACTTATACCCAGTCTTCTACATACTACAGAAAATGACACCAGAGAAAAAGTTTTACAAGCCCTTCACGTAATGGTAACTGGATGTAAAAGTGAGTTTCAAAAGGCTCACATACAGAACAGCTTAAAAAAACTCAAACTGGAGTGGCTCAAAGATGCCAGGGGTTCAGAAGCTAGTGACAGTTCTGAATATGCTGGAATATTGGCACAACTTGTTACAGACCTGATGAGCAAGTTAACATGACTGCAGAGCTTTAGGTAGCATTTCCCTTTACAGGATCCATCCACCTCAGTGTCCTGTTGGTATTTTTGCCATGGAAGGACGTTTGGTTTTGAAAAAAAAAACCATTTTTTTTTTCTTGATTACATCGTAGTTACGTGAACCCTTGGATTCTCCTTACTCCTTGCGCCTTGCACTAGTCTCCCGCTCATTCGTTCTTTGAGATGTCACGTAACTTCTCCCTAAGTGTTGCGTGACATGGTAAAAAACAGTTGCGAAGGAGACCGTGCTTTACATGACTTTGCATTAGCCTTTGTCTGAAAAGGAAGCCAACGACTGGTAGTGATCTTCAACTTCATTTCCCGGTCACGATACAATGATAGTAAAAAAGTAAAAAAAAGTTATAAGATTACTGCCAATGTCACAAAAGGGGATGTACTCATTTGACATCGAACATGAAGGGACCTTCACCGGTTTGGACGCCGTGTGATATTCCGAGTGAAGATCTCGAATTAAACCTTGTCTGACATGTAACTTAAAGTCAGTTCCATAAGAAGTCCGGAAACCTGGTAGTTGTTAGAATGTACACTTGTAAAATAGAAGTGTCAGTTAAGTTTTTTACTAATTTCCTGACAATAGAAGAAACCAGACTCTGACATAAGACGTCTCGAAAGCCGTTGTTTGGTCTAACCCCGTAGGCTACGAAGGAGACTAGGTTTTCATTGGATCACAGAATCACTGCGATTGCGATGATCCCAGCATTCACATCAAAACCAGGATTTACGGGCGTAGAGTCTTCAAGGGCGCTTGTACGTACCTCTAGTAATTTCTTAAATATTTAATACTTCGATTTTTGCAAAAATCGTCTTTAATTATTAAGTCGGTTGTTCTTACGGATATCTTATTACTTTCCTGGGATTCGACTTTATGAAATAAGGAATTAAAAGTTAATAAAAACGCTTTTCAATGCAATGTTGAAGTTCAAAACTGACCTAACGATTGCGATACACAGACTTGGTCTTTTACCACTTGGAACCTGTTTTCCAAAGAGGTTCTCAAGTTCACCCGTACTGAAAGGAAACGTGCCATCATCACGTCGATCCTACTTTAAGGTCATGCACGTGTTAACTTTACCGTCAGGCGCAGATCTTCATGGCCACCCAGAGACCACGTAGAATGATGTATGGCCGAGCGCTTAAGGGTGTTCAGTTTGACTTTAAGGTCAATTCGTAATATCCATTTTCAGTTTCTTTTTGAGGGTCTAAAATAGACTTCTTCAATCCCGCATCACGCCGCTATTTTTTCATTTCATCCCGCCATTCCGTCGTAAGAAACGTTTTCATCCCGATCGCGCCGTTTCTCTAGTTCACCGCCAACTGATGGACAAATTAAAACCTTAACAATATTGATAATGTACTCTCGTTATGGAGAAAGGCGAAGACTTGCTTAACGTATATTTAGCCGGCTTAAAAAGCGGTTGTTCCTCGGTGTGTTTCCTCGGTGTGTTTATGGTCTCTTTCAGGCTGGGTCTCTTTTAAGCGAGACAGAAAAACTCAACCTACAGAAGGACTAAAAGAAAAGCTGTACTGTTACAATAGTGGATAGAATTCTTCAGCCGATCGCCCAAAAACAGAAGTCATATCTCAAAGATACAGCAAAGTTCATCTACTTTATAGAAAATAGAAAGCTTCCGAAAGAAATGATACCCGTTTTGCTGGACGTTACGAGCTTACACACAAATATAGCTACCTTACCCACTCCCCCCTCACCCCCCCCCCCCCCACCATGCCAAAACGCTTACTAGAGAAAGCACTTAGACTGATTTTGCAGCAAAACTCAATTCAACGAACAAAACTACTTGCAAACGTAAGGAGCCGCCATCAGCTTTTGCAAATATCTTCATGGCTAAAATTGAAATGCAAATGCTAGATAAGGGCGCTCGTTTGGAAACGCTACATCCACGGCATAATTTCTCTCATGTACACCAACAGATAAGTCGTCAACCAGTTCATTGAACAAGCAAATAAACACAACTCAAAAATCAAATTTACAGCTGAAATATCTGTTTCAGAAGCTATTTTCTTAGACACCACTATCTTTAAGGGTGAAAGATTCAACAGGGAGTCAGTTTCGACATGAGAACCCACTTCAAACCAGCAGAGACACACATTCAACACAACGTATCACCTAACGGGAACAAAGAATTACTAAAAGGCGAATCGTTACGAGTTCCCGAGACAACTTCTTCAAAAGAAAAATTTGAAGAAAACATTCCTGGCAGAGAGAAACTACCCGAAAAACTTTACCGACAACCCATTCTCAGAAGTGAAATTTTAAGAACGTACACGAGCCCTCCTCCAACAGGGAAAAACAAATAGTTGAATCTTGCCCTTTGTAAGAACACAATACTAACCAACAGTTCCAAACCTTTAAGAAAATCCTTATGAGCAACAACCATTGTTTGGAGAAATCTTCAAAGAACTGCCGATAATATCATATCGAAAAGGGCGTTTACTCAGACATACTTGTGAGAGAAAAATTATAACGAAGGCGAGAAAACCGGACATACTATGGGTCGTGTAAACACCTGTAACTACCGTAATAGAGAGGAAGCCTGTCAACCCCAATTTACATGGAGGCATCAATTAAGCCCATTTCAGTAAAGCAGATGATTCTTTCTAATGTCTCGGTGAGGTAGGGTGACGCGTAACTTTAGCTTTACTATGATCCCGCTTATACTCGTCCTCTCTCCTATCCTGCCTTCGAAACGGAGCATATCCCGGTCTCGCTTCCAATTTTCATCCCGCATCTTGCATTTAAAATTTCTCTCATCTCATTCCACAGCCCGCCTCGATTTCAAGTCTCATCCCGCATCCCGCCGAACCCATGTTGGATCCTCCTTTTTATCCACACCTGCACACGGGGTGTAAGATTTTCATGCCTTGAATTATAAAGCGTTTAAGTCGGGTGGCAGCTTTTCTGGTAGACATCGTTTTCCTTGGCATTTAACGAATTTAACAGTCAGGTTTTTCTTTTGTCGTGGGTCACCACTCGCAAACGATACCTTGACTCTTCTTCCTACCATCAAAATCTATTTCTTTTTTTCATCGGGGTAGCTGGATGCAGGGGATGATAACCACCCCTTTCAAAGAACCTTTACTTCCGATGTTGTCATTTGCAAGAGCATTCAGTGAATCACCAACGGCCTTGCTCGCGACCAGTTGTCCTCAGCTTTCGCAAATCTGAGCCCGCAGATACAAGTTCAGCGCACACGCGCCAATGAGCAGCTCTCTCAGAGTCATGCATTTGTGATGGCCAGTTTGAACGTTCAGACACTTCTCCCTTAGCGTGTTTGAAAGGGGTTTGTTTTGTGTAAACGCCTTCTTCTTCAGCAAGAATCCATAAAGTTTTAAATCGATTCTGTTTCTATTGATGGGTTTATTGTGGTCCTCGAGAGAGTTGCGTGTTTGATGGAGAGCGCGAAACACTATGTACGCTTTCCGTCAGGCAGAGTTGGTTGGTAAGCGCTTTTTGTGTGTCCGGGAGAAAAATACTCTTCGCCCAAACTCTCGATCAAGGCGTGTGGCAAACCCTTTGGACTATCAGTGGAAAGTTGGAGTAATCAGGGTTTGCAGCGAAAAGGATTTCAATCATCCAGAGCTAAAGGTTAGGGATTTTTTTTTTCAGTTTTCACTGTCGATGTGGACAACGTTGTAGCTGGTTGGCATTGCTTGCGACTGTTCATTGAACATACTAAGCATTTGTTTGAAAATGAGAGTCGATCTCACAGAACAAAACGGTTTATTCTTAGCTGATTTTCCGCTAGTAGACAAAAGGTACATATTTAAGACTTTGAATAAACGGTACACCGGCTAAAATGCAACTGGTGTTGAATTGTTCACTCGTTAGTACTCTCCAATGAACTGAATATAAAAACTTCGTGAAAATGCAGGCTTTGTCAAAACCACCGGAGCATGAAATTTCTTAACGCTGAATCTATCCTGCAGTGAAGAGTTGAGTAACATTTCTCTGCTGACTAGATCACGTTAAATAACTTAATTCTTTTAAATGTATTAAATCTTGTGTCCAAATGAATACCAGTTCTTGAATGTGAAGTAACGACTTATCTTAAACGTGCGTGATCGCGGGTTGAAATGTACATTAAATCCACTAACATTAGGAAATTGGTGTATTTTATTGGAATATGTGGATTTTATTTTAATTCCTTCGTAGTTCTATTCGTCTAATGATGTCTTTGATCGCGTGTCTTCAGCATCAACTGTTCTTGTATTGTGCCCGTAAACGAATAACTATTTATATGCCTTACTCGTTGGCTTTAGATATAAGTTCAACCGATCGTATCAATAGTTGTGCACAGATCTGTTGACCTCGTTTAATTATTACCCATACACCACTTAAATTAAGTAAAGGGTCGGAAACTGGAAGAAATTTCAAGCAGTGAAAGGGACATTATTGTAACCTTCACCAACATCAGCTTGTAATAAGATCAACAACAAAAGACAGGTATTAAACATGAATACTTGGACAATATTTTGATTTCTCTCCTATATTACATTGAGATTAGGTAATGGGGAATTAATGAAGGATGTAATTATACCAACAAGAAATTAAATTCTCCTAGTTCTATTCAGCGCTGAACACATTTTTTTGACTCATTGTATTTTGGCTATTGTGCTGCTTTAGAGGTCTGTCTCTGCACGATGAAGGTAACTGTTTTCAACTCACCAAACTATTAATGATTTATTCAGGAAGACTTAAAATTTCTTCAAGGGTGCTTCATCAGCTTTATTCACAGTGTGTTTTGAGACCAGTTACAATGTTTGTTTATTTAAACAAAATACTTTGAAAGAGAGTTCCTTTTCCAACTGGACTGATCTAATAAAAAATTACCTAGTTAAATAAGCACTGTAAGAATTTCTCACCAAGACATTGGGGCTCTATGATTTTCAAAAAATAGCTGTGCTAGATATCTAAAAGACTGAGATTTTCCACGTGTTTTGATTGGTACAGAGCCCATCTGCATAAGTTCTGCTAAACCCACAACTAATTTAGATTATAGTAAAAATTTGTATATAATGCATGCTGTCATTGGTTAGGATTTTGGGAGAAGACTTGAAAAGTTTATTAGTCAATAGCCATCAGCATGTGATTACAAACTTTTTACAGTATCTTCCAGAGTCCCAGTTGGATTACTGAGGTGGCAAACTAATGGAAAGTTAATTCAATTGATTGACCAGATGGGATCATTTACAAGCATGATTATAGTATATGCCTTACACATGTTAGTCTGAAAACCAATTTAAATGTTTTGTTTTACTTCTCTATTGAAGGTCTTAGTTGAGTATGACGATGAAGAATGGACAACTAGGGAATGGCTTAAAATTCATGATGGAAGCTGGAGGTTATTTTTGGTGGAAAAGAGCATGGTATGGAGTCAGAGACCAGACCCCTCCAATCCAAAGAGACCTCTCCTTTGGCCAGCTTTGGTAGGAGAATTTTGTTATTTTGATTGAACCTTAGCAGTTGATTTTAAAAATTTATACCTAGGGCAGATAATCAACAAACTTCTGCTGTGTATGCATAGCATTGTGATGAATTTATAAAGCCTTGTAGCTCCACGTTCATCACTGTACTGGATGGGGTATCTCAGTAGTCCATCATTGTAACATACAGATCATTTGTAGCTTAAAATGTGGGACCATGTGCAGTAGCATTTAATAAACTTGTGTGACCCAAGCATAGGGCTTATTTTGGTAAAGGTGGTACATATTGTTGAACCTGTATTAAGCAGTTGCCCATGGGGAATGGTGGAGTGACCACTTAACACAGGTTCCACAGAATAGGGATTTTTGAAAAAAATGATGACTCCCAATTTATGCTCTGATTGACCATTTAATGCACAAAAACTTGCTCAAAAATACAACTAACATTGATTTTGGGAGCTTAAGATGGTACTGCTTAATACAGGTTCAACTGTATTTAAAGGTGGTGCTTATTCAAAAATTATTTTTTATTCCAAACAATGACAACAAGGATATTTTGTTATTAAAAAAAAAAAGCATTCAAAATACCATTTATTGTCATGTTGTGGAGGAAATTGGCTTGCCCTTTTCACTGGCCTGTTCTGTCAAATTCACTCCTTATCTGTTCCTCTGCAGGAGTTCAGGTAATGAAGCTGATAAGGATACTTAATTCTACTATTTTTATGTTTCATTATATGATATTAAAGAAACAGCAAATGAACATTTAATGTAGACTAAACTGAACCATAGCATGAACTTGTTTTATACCATGGAGACTCAGAAGGCTGTTGTGCTATGAGTTTCATTTCCATTGTCAAAGAAGTCTTAAAACTTTGAGATCATATTTAACACCTACACCAGACTAAATCAATTGTTTTTAGTCTTACCTACATGTACCACTTTAATAGGGGTTAGTTATGTAAATATATTTTTTTAATTACTCTGTGCCTTAAAGCTTTAATGTCAACTCTCTCTTTACAGACATTTGTCCCCCTTGTTGATAAACATGGTTTGAGTGATGAAGAACGGCCTGTTCCAGTGGAGTTTGTGGGGGACCATGAAAGGTGCATCATGATAAATCTACTTTCATTATTTTTTTTTTTTTTTTGCCAAATGCCTCTATGCAGATGTGACTATGAGAGACTTTACAAGGGAGAGATGTGTATATATATAAGGTGGCACACAACAGGGAATTTGAAATGTAAAGCAAGAATTTAAAATAATTTTGAATTGTTCATCAGCATGAAAAATTATGTTGAACATCTGGTATTCTTCCAACTTCCAGCTGTTATCTATGTCTATATCATTTTTGGAAAAGGATGGAATTTTTTTTTTTTTTCGAGGGAGGGATATTTATTTAAGAGGGTTGTTCACTAAATTTAAAAGGTCTGGATGAAGTGTCCTTTAGAAAATAATGTTAAGTAGAGACAGGTTATGTGTAGGATATGGCTGCAAGATATTCAAGAAATTTAAACATTCATAGACAAGTAGTATGTTAATCAATATTTTTGAGGTGAGTTTTCTGTTAAGCGAGCAACACACTTGGTGATTTTATACCCTGTTTGCCATGATCAGGGAAAGTAATCAAGTGTGCCCAGGCAACGAATGCAATTTTTGTCCATCTCTACCAAAGGCATACATGTATAAAATCACTGACATCTGACATGTCAGAAAGAGGCATTTTACGCCGGGGATCAAATTATAGCAATTGGCAAATTAAATCATCAAGCAAGTCACTGGCTTTACATTGTGTGTTTGCATTTGAGCTAATCCTTTATTTTGCTTCTCTCTTGTAGAGCATTCTTGCGGAGTGATGAGTTCCGTCCATATGGTCAGGTATTACTGAATGTTAGAAAGTGCCTTAAAGTGTAACAAATCTTTGTTGTGAAATATGTAATGTTTTCTGGATTGATAAAGTTTTTTAGCCCCATTGCTCAATAGCAGTTATTACGATTGCTTATAGCACAACCATATCAGTACTCATTTTTAAAATAGCATGTAGTTCCAAGAAATTTCTTTGTCATGGGTAAACTTTGTCAACCTTTTCCATAAGGGTGACAATTTTGTCAGTACTTTTATGGACTTTGATCAGCCCCCTTTGTTGAAAATTCTAAGCAATTTTCGATGTGAATAAGGCATTAAGACCAATATAGTTGAAAAGAAAAGAGCAATGGTTGTTTTCCATTATAAAATAGCATGCATACAAAATTTAGTTTGTTTATGTTGACCTCTTGTAGGATGATGATGCCCTCCATCCAGTCCTAAGAAATAATGTGGCTGTAGTACGTGAACTGCAAGGATGGCAGCTCTTGCAGAAGTCTCAGTCAATTCTTATGAAAGGTAGTTCTTTTACAATGCAAACACTGCAGCATTTTGTTATTTATAGAACCCTCTTTCCTTTTTGCTATGGCTTCACATTTTACACATTTGTTTTCTATGTTTTCATTTTCCTCTGCATTGAAGTTTGGTACATGTAACTTTTATAGTACTTGTGGCTGAGTTACATTTTTTGAGGGAAAGTTAGCAATAAATGTACCTTACATAAGTGTTTCACCCCCCTTAAAATATGCCTGAGATTAACTCTCTAGTGATGTTGTGGATCAATGTTTTATTAAGTCAAAAAACTTTTTGTTTTCTTCTTTTGTTATAATGAAATATCTTACCTTGCACAACCAAAAAGGTTTGGCTGGAGAATGTACAAAAAAATGTTGGTAGAAAATGTTTTGCTTGGGATTAAAATTTAACTTCAACATTAATAAAATTTTTTGTTTTAAGGTCCCTTCACCTTAACTGGTTTTAGAGTCAAAGTTTACAGGTGAGTTTCCTCATAGTTGTCTGGACACATAGATCCATTGTTTTTACTCATTGGGGCCTTTGTTAAGGATCATTTCATGTCTCAGATAACCATATTCCAGAAGAGACATCCACCTAAACTGACAATGAAGTGTAAGACTAACAGACTATCAGAACTCTGTCATTACATTATACCAATAAAAAGAAAGTTAACTCCTGAAATCATGCAATTTTATCTACAGCATTAAACAGTGTAGGATTTGATTTGACACTTTTGTATGTGTGGCCAGGTTACTGAGTTGTTTCAAAATGGCAGCAGCCTCTGTCAGATTTTAAGGATCTAGGAAGATGTTTGAATTATGATTACATTATTATTTTTTGAAATGTAGGCAAAGCTGCCGGCAGTGGTTTTCAGCTGTAATAACAGCACATGACATTGTTTCCAGGGTAGGTGATATGTAAATGAAATTTGTGCAATTGCACTATAGTACACATGCTAGGAATTGTTTCATATAATGCCATATGTTTCTCAAATCACCCATTGTAATGTTATTATATTGCAGTTTATCACAAATTTCCAAACAGGCCTGCACGCAATATCTTAGTTAATCTTTTTTCAGAAGAAATTCATAGAATTATGGAAAATATAATTGCTCTGGAAACAAACTCTTCTAGAAAAGATTCAAACCTTTACAAGACAGGGAGAGAGTGGATGACACATTTCAAATTTTTATTACTACTGTAATGTTATTTTTTTAATTTCACAGTTCATTCACATTTTAAGGATTGTTTTGTGTTAAATGTGGTCACAATAAGCCTATAGATGGGGGAGATATTAACCATTTACACCTAAAATCAGTATGTACATTCTCCATACTGCTCTTAATACATTTCCTAAGGTGCTGACAAGGACAATTTGTATACCAATCAAAAGCTTCTTTTGTTGGTGATCGTTTTCTTCATTCTCATGACCCTAACATGTGATTCAGGGGTGATATAGTAGGGAGAAATTTGATGCTAGTCACTCTTAGGGTTTAAAGGATTTAAGGAGAATAAGCTCAACTTTAGAGTAACCATATTATAAAATTATCAGAAATTACCACCAACTTTTTAACTATACTTTTCAGGAGTTAAGTGTAATGGATGACACAGTATTGCAGACTCACAGAGTTGATCCAACACTTGTCCAAGTTATTCTTCTGGCAAATGGTAAGTACATGTAAGTTAATTGTGCATGGCAAAGGTCACTGCTAGTGAAGGTACTACCAATTTTTTCCTCTTTTAATTTGCTTATTCATATCTTGTTAAGTCCTTGTATTGGGAGTCTCAAACGAAAAAAGCACTAAAAAAAATGACTGGCTACAAAAAAACCTTAGGAGAACACTGAATGACATCTTTCTGTGTGAGATTTGAGAACTTTACATATCAAGTTGGTCATGGAGTATTGGCTTTGATCTATAATTGTGTATGACATATTTGCTTTTGGTTCTTATTTGCAGAGGCAGAACTAGATAGTTTGTTGCGAGGGGAGCTAAACGTAGTGCGAGTTTTGCCAATGAGACAACACCGCCACTCACAAGTTGTTATCACTGCTCCTTTGACAACACACTCAACATCTGGTTCTCTTTCTTCATCACCATCGGTAGGAAATTTTCTGGATTTCTAACAAAACATGTGACTGGTTCATTCCTCTCCAGTGAACATACCCAAATACATGTTTTTTTTTTTTCATGAAATGCTTACCCTCATTTTTCTTGCTTCCCTTGGTGTGTAGACATGGCAGTTGTATTCTGGATTATCACAAGACAATAACACAAACAACCTGGCAAATATCACGACACCAGTTTACCAATCAGCTTTAGCTTCCACAAGTGCTAGATTGAACACTGCATGTTCATCCTCTAACTCACATGGGATAAGGCATGGCAAAGAGAGGAGAAAGTCCACTGAAACAAGGTGCACTATTTATATACAGTTCTATTGCCGCAGCAGTATTTATATATAGTTCTATTGTTGCAGTGGTATTTATATAAAGTTTCAGTGCTGAAGTGGTATTTATGTAAAGTTCTATTGCTGCACACATGACTGTACCTGACATGTAATTTTTTATCACTATAATCATTGTTGTTCCTTCCAATCCTCAGGAGAAAAAAGGGCTACCCCCTCCTTCTCTCTTTTCAGACATTTTTTTGATCTTAATTTTTTCAACTATTCTCCCTGTCTGCCACACATCAATTCTCTTTGTTTTTGGTTGTAATTTCAGAAACATCCTCAATTCAACGAGCTTCACATTTTTCATATTATCAATATACAAATTGACGTGATTTACCAAATATGGAATGTGTACAATTCACTTATTTTGCTTTTGCTAACAGTAGTTCAATATATTTGCAGTAAAAATTGAAAAAACAGTACGCATTTTCATTTTTGTCTTTTTCTCCCTCTCTCTAAGAAATAGGACACCTTCTGCTTGCAAAATTACAAGGTCAAACTCAAACAGCCCAGTTCCATCCAACGATACTCTTAAACCAGCATCACAAACACCTCAGTCATCTTTCACATCTTCAGTGGCCACTCCCCTGATGTCAAACCATCTAACAGCACCTCACTCACATAACCAACTCAGCAACAAGACTTCACCCCCAGATGCAACTATTTCTCCTGCAAAGAACTCTAGTTCCTCAAGTTCTGTTGGATCACCTCCATCAAGTTTTCCAAAGAAATCACCTCTTAAACAACAAATGTCACCAAAAACATCACCACCATCAGTGTTATCTTATAATTCTTCACCTGCCTCCAATGCTAGCATGAGTGCTATGGGTAGTCCCTTTAGAGCCCATCCATTCTGTTCTTCTCCTGATTTATCATCTGTGGCAAGCATGGCAAGTCCTATGGCTGGAATATCCCACATGGGCATGTGTTCTCCAGGTCATGCAGCACATTCAAGATCACAAGGTCCTCATCCTCTCTACCCACATACCATGGGACTTAACATCTCACCCAATCAGCTATATGCATTGCAATGCCAACAGCAGCAGCAAATGCCAGCACAAGAGCAGCAGGAGTATCTCACCAAGTTGCGGCATCAGCACTACCAAAGTCTGCTACAACAGTATCAGATGCACTGTTATCAACTTCAACTGATGGTACAGCAACAAGAGCTCATCCAGCAGATGCCACTCACTGCAGAACAACAGCATATTCTAGCAGAACACTACAACCAGCTCCTTTATCAATTTCAATGTGCACAGATCTTTCAGCAGTTAGCAGCTGTCACTCAAGAGGAGCAGTTGTCTAACTTTCATTCTGTTGAGGGTGACATTCACTCTCTTCCGGAAAGGATACAGCAGCGACTGCGAGAAGCACAGCAACAACAGAAACAGTGGTTGCAGGAACTCACACCTAGGCTTGAGCCAAAGCAGCTGCACACACTTTTCACATGTTTACAACAGAAGAGTATGACAGCCAAGGAAATAGAACAGCTTTACTCTTTACTGCTACAGCAACAACAAGAGCAGAAAAGACTAACACATGCACAGAGGGAGACGCCAGAGTGCGAACAACAGAAGCAGAAACTACAGCAATGTCATCAGCAATATCAGGTCATTTGAAGTCACAATTATTTAGTGATATGCCCCCCTCAGGCAATTATGAGCTGAATTTTACCCTCGATAGTGCAAAGAGAAATGTTGCCAAGAGTTTTACTTTCAAAGATAATTTTCCTCTTTTTTTTAAGCTTTCTCCTTTGATCTTTGGGCAATTATTAACCCTTTAACTCCTTATATTGATTGACTTCTAATTTCTCCTTACGGTATCAACCCTGAATCAAATATGAAGGTCGTGAGAGTAAAGGAAATGATCACCAATTTAAGAAGCTCCTGATTGTCAAACAAATTCTCCTTGTCAGTACTATAGGAAATATAAGGCGAACAGTGTGGAGATTATGAATACTAGAGTTAGGGTGTGAAGGGTTAAAAAGAAGAGTAACTTTAGATGGCCTCTATGGCAACTGAATATAGAGATGGAGAGTTCCCAAAACCTTTGAAGACAAGAAGGAAAAATCATGATATTTTCAAGTAGAAGCTTGTTTTGCATTCTGAGAATAAAACTGATGTAAGGTTTTCTTTGAAAACAACAGGAACATTTACAGAAATTTCTCCAATTACCGAAATCCCCATCCTCAACTCAAGTTGTTGAAACTAAGCAGGAACCCAAGCAGGAACCTAAGCCGGAGGCATCGTGCAGCAGTTCCTCGCCTTCACGAAATGCCTCGCCATCAACTCTCTCGCCATCACCAAGTTCATCGACATTCACCGTACACCATTTACCCAGCGTAAAAGAAAAAGCTTCTTCTCCAAAAGGCATCAGTGAAGATAAATCTGAAAATGAACCAAGTGCAGGGGTATCCTCTTCCGAGAGTCCGAAGCTTACTGAAAGCAAAAATGTGGAGGAGATAGAGTTGACATCTACTACAACAACTGGAGATGGGCAGTCTCTTCTCGAGAAATTGTTGCAACATCACTTGAAGGCTGTGGAGAATAACAGAAAAGAATCGTCAACAAAGGTTTGAAAATATTTTGTATTGGATTGTTTTCCCTTTTTTTTCTTTCAACCGAAAAAATTAAGATATAAACTGGGATGTAAGACAAATAGCATATCATTTTGAGATACTTTGGTTTTTCGAGATACTCTAATATATCTATAGTTAAAGAAGGTAAGTGAATCTCATTCTTCCCTTAGTTATTTATGTCCGATTTCTTAACCGTTTCATTCCCAAGATCTACTTGTCAATTCTCCCCCCTTAGCTGCTACACATTTCCTTGTAAATTAGTCACGAGAATTTGGTGGTAGATCAAGGAAACAACTTCTACCTGATAAGTTGGGGTGTTCTCATTACCTGTTTGCTGGATAACGTGTGGGAGAAGTTACATGTTAATCACTTCTGGGGGGTTAAAGGGTTGAGTTAACTCATAAGAGTGACAGTGGAAATGTTTTCGTTTAGACAAAGAAATCGAAAGTTGAAGAAAAGAGGGGTAAACGGCGAAGGAGGTCAACAGAATCCAAGGATGATAGTCTGGCTCAAAGAGACAGCGAGATGATAAAACGTTCTCCTTCAGTTTCTTTCTCGTCTGAAGGAGATTCCACGAATGTCATTTCATCATCATTAACAGTCGGGGATGGCCCAAATTCGTCTTCAAATAAATTATCTCTCGAAAAAAGGGAAGAGGTCCTCAATAATAAAAATTTTCATAAAAATTCAAGTTTTGGTGAGGTGGACAACAATCACGGAAAAGAAAGAAGTGATATGGCGGTCACTATCAAAGAGGGCGATAAAACAGCTTTAAAGACAGAAGGGGAAACATCTGCATCAGAAAAAGAGAGAAATAGTGGTAAGAGTAAACCAAATGAACAGCCAGCTGATACACGAAAAGGAGTCTTCTATGAGGATGCTGCACCATGGATCCCAGATGAGGCAACTCATGATGTGCCTCAGACAGTCAGACTAAGCGGCAATGTAACTGAGTCTATAGAAAGTTTCACTGGCGCTCGGAAGGATTTCAAAAAAGAATCATCAACGGTCTTAGGTGGGAGGGGTTCAGGGGAAATGTTTGTTAATGACACAACATCTAAAAATCCGAACATTGTAACTTTAGAGGGAGGAAAGATGGTGGCACAAGGGAGAAACGACCCCATTGTCCCTAAAGTCAGTTCCACTAACGATAAGAAAGAGATGATTCAAGGGACAACAGTAAAGATTTCAAAGAAGGGATCTACAAAGAGTCCAAGTAAAGACTCTTCAAATGTACAATCGTTGAGTTCCAGCTGTAATAGCGCTACTGATTTAGGTACGCCTTCCGTGAACGTTAAGGACAGGAAGGACTCGGAGCGAATGGATGTTGAGAGCAAGGAGATCGATACCTCTGTTGCAAAACAGAAACCCTCCTTGAGTTCAGAAGTGGCGCCTTTGTTCACGAAAAGTTTTCTCTCGATGTCATCTTCAAATTCGGCTGACCATAATGGGGAGTTATTTAGTGGCGAAGGACTTAAAACGTATTTAAGAAAAGTCACTCCTAATAAACGGAAATTGGGCACGGAAGATAACTTTGTAGAGGACAATTCAATTGCGAAAAAAGCTTTGACGATGGGCAACAAGGAATCACCTGAGACTGACCGCTTGAAAGATATCATTCCTAACAACAGCAAAGTAGAACTTGCCAAAAGATTAAACAAAAAGTTTGCAAATTCGCATCTGGAGGAAAAAACTGTACAAAGTCAACCCCAACTCAGTGTTTCTTCGTCAGAAAGGACTAAAGCTTCGAGGAAAAACTCAGCTGATGCAAACAACGTGCTAACGAAGAAATCAAGGCGGGAGGAAATCATGTCCTCTGACGTTGATGACGCTCGAGATAAGACTGATGTAAAACTGCAACTCAAAGATAACATTACAAGGGAGGAAGATAAAAATCGTGTGGATTCTGTAAGTTTTGTTGCTGATCAAGTTGTTAATGAAATATCGATAAATCATAGCCCGACTGCGAAAGATGCGCCGGGCGACCAATTTGGGGCTGTTAAGGTGAACTCTGAAAGACAAAACAGCAGAAGTAAAGAGAGAATCAGGGAGATCACGAGCAAGAAAAAAGAGTTAAAATCAAGAGAGGAGAGGAATAAAGAGAGACAGCAAAGAGGTGTTGGTTTACCCTCTGTTTGTGTTAAAGAACCAGATACTGCAGACAGTCTTGAAACAGTGGTGGATTCAGTACTAGACGAAGAAATTGCTCTTATTTATAAAGCGGATGGTGAGTACTGTGAATTGATATTTACAAAGCTAATTAATTGCTTTCCAATTTCAGTCATCATTTGTTCGGCATTGAATTCGTAAATCTAAAACAAACATTGGTCGGCTCTTTTGAATAGTCACGCACTTGCGATACAGGGGTCAGAAATTATAACCCTTTGTACTTATAAAGAGTGCTGTCCAAGCATTATTTTATTGGTCTAAGTGATATCACAACTTCATGTAGATCTCTAAACTACGAACAGTCCCTGCTTTTGCGAGTTGGAAAAAAAAGTGAAAACAAAAGTTGGTGTTAACGCGACGCGTGAAACTCTGTGAATGAGGCGCAATCTTTTCTTTTTTTGGTGACTTTGTTTTCCTACTCGCGCGATTGACTTATGTCGAATAGAAGGGAGTAGTCGAGCAGATCTCTTGCATAGAGTCAGCTGCGCAGCTGTTAAGGTTCCCAACTGAAAGATACGTGTAATAGCAGCTTCAAAACTAATTCAAGGTGATTTGTATTGTTAACGAGAATCACAGTCAAACAATACCAGTGAAATTTGTTTACCTAGCTGAAAAAAATGTGTTCTCTATCATACAGAAGAACAAGACAATGAGAGTTTGTTGGCAACCTCTGAGACTAATACTATAGGTAAGAAGATTGCGTCGTTCTTTCAGATATTCGTTACCGTTTCAAAATTATATCATACGCTTTCAGTGTAAGATACACTTGATAAACAAGTATTGATAATATAACTAGAAGAAAACACAAATTGTGACAGAAGTAAGTATGCAAGAATGGGAGATTTGCAATGGGAACGGACCAGAGAGTGAAATATGAACATGACATGCTGGTCTGCTGGATGATTTTCTTTCTATTTCATTGGGATATGAAAATATGAAAGGTGCATGGGAGGAAACCGAATAAAACACTCCTGCCACATATGAGCAGAACATTTTTCTACACACAATAACTAAGTGGTTTACCTTTCACATAAAAAAAGGGGGTGCGAGGGTGAGTTTCTTAAGAGTTTCTTAGCCCTTTAAACCCCAACATCAGAATGCACATTCTCCATACTTTTCTCTATATATTTCCTTATGTGCTGACAAAGAGAATTTCTTAAACAGTCATGAGCTTCTTGAGTTGGTGATCATTTGCTAAGTTCTTATGACCTTAATGATTGATTCAGGGGTGATACTGTGAGGAGAAATTGGATGCTGGTCACTCTTAGGGGTTAAAGGGTTAAGAAACTCGCGTGATGCGTCGGTGAAGGTTATCACCCGATACTTTGGTTTCATGAAATGAGTGGATGATAAACAAGTATGCCACGAGCGCACGTTGGATATGAGATGATACGGTCCTCGTTGGCGATAATCATCTCATATTCAGCAAGCGCGAGTGCAATGATTGTTTTATTAAAAACGCCGCAAAATATGGATAAATCCTCCCAACTTTATTTTGTAAGAACAAACGTAATGTTACAATGTACGAAAACACTATCGGGTTATCTGATCTTCATGCGCGTGCATGGTATAATGGCTCATAACCCATTATGGCTTAGCCAATGAAAACTCTTGAATTGCATTATCCAATGATCGAGTTTTTAATAATGTAAAGAGTATTTAAGGCTGACGTTTCGAGCGTTAGTCCTTGATCAGAGCATTCTACCTATCATAGCATATAAAGTAACATTTCCTTGTCATCCTGTTATCTCGTGAAAGCAGTTAAAACTGAAGAAAGACCGGTAACACCTGTAAAAGAGAAAGAGAAGGAAAAAGGGAAAGGAGTAACCGTCAGTTCTGGAAAGGAAGCTGCGCCACCGAGGGGACGAGGACGACCGAGAAAAAAGGAAGTTAAGAAAATCGTAGATGAAAGTGAGTTTTGATGCTACCAAAGAGAAAACGCTTTTACATCTAATAATTGAGCCAAATTAAAGCAGAACTTTGTTTATGTTAGGTTGTAATTAATTATACCGCATTGCCGACTTGTGAAGTTATATCTTTTAGGGCAAGTTCTCCTTAAAAACACCATACAATTTTGCTTCAAATCTGGAAAGTTAGCCCGGAAAATTTGTTTTTACTTTTCCCGAAAAATAGAGAGTGTTCCCGGTTTAATTGTGAATTTGAAAATATGTTAAAGCTTCCTTACCTCTTCACGACTTCTTTTGCCAATTGGTGGAAAACTCATACTGAAACGTAACGTCGACGCAGCTTACACTTCTTCCTCACAAAATCTCTCTTTTGCGCGCTGGCGCATTTCCTGGGGACTAAGCTTCAAAGGTGTATCAACTACCTCAGTTGGTACATTGAAGAAAACCGAAGAATGAACTGAACTGAACATTTCTTAATACTTTTGCAGGCGATTCGACTTCACCGAGCTCAGAACAATACTTTTTGCAGGTATGTGGAGATGTTTGCGTTAACTTTTCATCGTGTGCGTACCAGGATTACAAAGATGATATGCGGATTATGGAATGTAATCCGGCCTACAGGGGAATGATAACCAAAGGGCGAGGGGGAGAGGAAGGGAGGGGAAGAAATATATTTTATTTTATGCTGCTACCATTAAAAAAGCGATCAGAGTTGAAATGAGATTCTATAGAAGCCTAATTTTAAGTGAGAATTTGTCATTAAGAGGCCAGATCGAAGAAACGATAATTAAAACAAGCTATTTAGAGAAAACTGTTGGAGGAAGAACGCTTGATTATCTTTTAAGGTTTATTTAAAGAAGCAAGAGCCCATTCAGGTTATACATGTACGAGAGAATAAATGGTTAGTGCTGTTTGCGGAAATGAAATGCATCACTTAAGAGCCTACAGATGTTAGTCAGTTATGAAACCATTGTTTCAACTCAAAGCATACTTAACACTGCTTTGAAGCCTCGTCTTTGGAGTTTTTTTGTTTGGCAGCTGGTTCTTAAAAGACTTGCTTTCTCGTCTGCCGTTTTAGGACCGAATTTGTGCCAGTTTACCTGACCTGCCTAAGTGTAGAGATTGCAGAGAGCACCCCAGTCAGAGGAATGGATTGGATTGCTGTAGATTTAACTCGTTCAGAAGGTGAGTACATGTTATTACTTAATGTACTTCCATGTTCAATCCGTCTCACCACGAGCGTTGGACAAAGAAAAAATATGACACTACCGCGAGGAATCGAACCCCAGACCTTCGGATTTCGCGTACATGAACAATGAAGAGTAAAAAATTTTCTGATAGGAATGTTGCTCCTTGGTTTCCACTGCTAGAGTCAAAAACTTTCGAATCTGGCAGTTTGTTAGATGCGCGGCGAAGCAAACCTCGTTATAGTGCTTAGACATCTTTCCCTAGTTTTAAGTAATTTTTTTTTCCGTTGGTAAAGGTTGAGAAAGAAGAAAAATGGCACCATCTTATCGGCTGGTTTCCAGCTGCCCGAAGATGCCGCTGCAGAAGACTTTTTACCTTGGGTAGCACAGGACAAAGGTTTGTATGCAGTTCTTCACACACTTTCTTACCCGAGTTGAAACATCGCAGTAAGTATTTTGGGTCCTTCTGATGCTTCATAACATTATAAGACTCAGTATGTCGGGATAGATAAACCCTACAAGTAAGTAAAGATTATAAAGGAGTGAGACTGCATAAGATGGACATGGGTTGCGGATGGTAGAAACCCAAATGTTACGGAGCTATTTTAACAACCTTGAGTCTCGATCTTACAGCTTTTTCAAAAATCATGATGTTTGTTGTTAGATGTTTCTTTTCTGATTCAGCCCGTTCTCGAACGTAATTTTTTGTTGCACTGAGAACATTTTGATCTGTTTTCTTACAGTCGACAGGCTCGACAAGAAGACTTCTCTTTACATCTTATATAATATCGGAGATCAATTTTGCTCCGTGATGCAGGAAGAAAAGAAGGCGATTACTTGTGTGGAAACAGATGGTAAACAAGGTAAGGCAAGAGTTTTTTATGCGTTTTTGGGCAATTTCCGTTTTGCTTTGTTTTGTTTTGTTTTTCATAGTAGCTTTCGTAGAAAGCTTTTTTCTTTCATAGCTTTTTAATTGCTTTTCTCGAGCCAGCGCCAGTGTGTGATTGGTGCAGATAGAAATAAAATTGTCAACTCTCTTTCCTCATCAGTGACTGTGGCATACAAACGAGCTGTTCAAGGTGTAAGGGAAATGTGTGATGTGTGTGCGACAACTATTTTCAACGTACACTGGGTGTGCCACAGGTGTGGGTTCGGTGTGTGCCTGGATTGCTACAAGCTTCGTGTTCAGGAACGAGAGAGGCAGTCTGGTAAGTTTTGTAATACTACGCCGCTCAAGTCAAGCTGTAAACCTAACAGGATGTAGAAGTGGTTGGAAAAAATTGTTAAAATCAAATTAGAGTAGCCTTTCGTCAGAGCGAACGACGAAGGGCTAACGTTCGAAACGTAAGCTTTGAAACTCTTAACGGTGGCCAATTCATATTATCAACTAAGTTGATAATACTAAATTACACTGTATTCTTTGCTTGGCTATTCAATCAAGCTAGTGATGATAGTCTTGAATGTTTTTGCTTCGTAAGAGCGTAATCTGTTTTTCTAACTGCTCTAACTCTCCTGTTTACAGGCCTTGCTGGGAAGCGAGTGTTTGAATTCAAGTGGGTTATGTGCTGTCCGGGAATTTGTCACCAGCCAAAGTTCTTATCTGTGGCGCAGATTATTCCTAAAACAGGTGAATTCAGTACATTTACTGTGCGATTAGTACTTAAGTCGTCTAGTTAGTCTCTGCTAGGGTAGAACGCATCAAACTAAAACAATTTAAGTCTATAATCTAGTGACGCATGCATGCATTTAAAATGACAGTAACATATTTGCGTGGAAAAGAAAGTTCAACTTTTCTAAAGAAACAAAAGCAACCGAATGGAAAGAGAGCGTGTTGCGGAACCATTTTTTAGCTTAAGGGTACGACGTAGGCCTAAAACTTTTCTCGTATTAAGAATGAAATTAAATAGTTCACCGTCTATTGACCTTACAGTCTTATCTGACCTTGGAGACGAACTGCACAGAGCCAGAGAAGTATGGAAGATTAGCAAAACATGCCCATGTGAGGAGATCGATGACGATGACGAGGACAATGATGATGCTACGGAAACTGGACTCTCCAATGAGGAGTTGACCCAGGTTGAAGAAAATGGCGTTGATGCTTGCAAAGAAACAAGCGACACCATTGTGAAAACGGAACCTTTGTCCATTTCTTCGAGCCAAACAGCGGGTGCAGGAGATAGCGAGTCCAGTTTTGAGGATGACGTCAACCTGATCTGCGATGAAAGTTTGGGCATTGACTCGCCGGCTGACCAAGAGCAGGAGTGGCTTACCGAAGAAAAGCGAAGAAATCACTTTTACAAGAAGGCTGGGTTTGGTCTAGTCGAAGCCAAGCCGCAGAAGGCCAAGAAAGTCTCATCTGGTTTAAGTTTGTTAATGGATTACAGCTCATCGAGGGAAGTGTCTCCTTGCGACTCACCTGTCAAAGATGTAAAACCCGCAGCAGGGATGTTCAATTTTTCATTGGGTGGTAACGGCGGCAGTTTTTCTGGTCTGGATCTTCTTGCTTTGGCCTGTGAGAGAAATGGAGAGGATTTCTCGATGGATAACACCTTCCGTTTGAACGCTGAGAGTAAGACGGAAATGGATACAACAAACTTCAACCCACTGAACAAACGGGATGACATCAGGACTACAGATGGTAATTATTTTGATGTAAAGAAATCTAAAGTAGCGCCATTGTAGAAAAAATGAGGAAAAAAATTAAGGAAACCAAACAATGTCACACCTTGAGCCCGTTCCCCGAAGGCCCCGGTAGTTAATGGTCCCGGAAAGCGGATTTTCGTCTGGAGTACTTTCCTTAAAGATCGAGATATTGATGGTTTTGAGATTCAAACAACTAAAACCCAAGCTGCTGTTCTGTAGATGTAAACTAGAAAATAAGACTTCAAGTCCCCTAAGTTACTGGTTTTCTGAGAAACGGGCCCGAGCAGACATGCATTCAACACTGTGTAATGTTTCGCTCTCACTAGTAATTCTCTCCACAACTGCCATGTACTTCGGTGTAAATTAGTAGATAGAATTTGGCTTCGTAGCAACAACCTTGACTAACTCCAAGTAATGAGGGTTGCTACATACTCCTCACCAGTTTAATAGACAATGTACTGAAAATGTGACGGGACTTTCCATGTTAATCTCTTCTGGGAGTTACATGTTACGGGTGAACGCACGTCGTTGGGCAAAGACTAGACAAGTCCCTCGCTCTAGACGTCTATTTCCTCTCGTATTTTTTTTCATATTTGATTCTTACCATGTTCTTATGTCAGTTCCCGGCCCAGTCGCCACAACTTGTGAATCGACAAGTGCCGAATATTCTGAAGAGGTACGAAGCCACGCGGTCGCCCCAGTCCTGGACTCACCCGAGGCTGTACCCCATTCTTGGTTGTGCGATGGCCGTTTGTTGAGACTCCACGATCCCAGACATCCAGGAAACTTGAAAGCTTTTGAGGCTCGGTGGAAAAAGGGCGAGGTAAACACTCTTGTTTGGCCAGTAACAGTTGGGATATTTATTGCGTTCTCTTTGTCCTCCCGTTATTGAGTAACCTCAAAAATCATTAATGAGTAGGGTGTTCGATCGTGTTCATGCGGAAGGTTAGTTTTCATGTGTGTTTTCGCGTTGACGTGTTTGTGTGTAAGCTATGGCTTTGGTGTTTGCTTGTTCATGATATTATGAGCGTTTCAATGAGCTTTGATGAGCTTCTTGCTGTTTGCTTGTTCATGATATTATGAGCGTTTCAATGGAAACGCTGAGTACTGTCTGCAAGTTAGAAACGAAAAGAAGGTAATAAATATTTCAGTCAATTTACTAATTTCTTAGTGGTAAATTACGCTGATGTTGCAAAATCCAAACCTCGTTTGACCCTGGAATGACCGTGACGTTGTTATTTGTTACTAGCCTGTTCTGGTCAGCCAAGTGGACAAATACTTGAACCTGGATATTTGGTCTCCAAAAGCATTTGGCGAGGAGTTTGGTAAGTTACGTGACACTTAGAAAGATACAATGAAGTATCTGTCACGCAACACATTTTGCACAACCTTGTAAGATAGCTTCGCGATAAAGATGCGTGTAAAAGAGATGTTAAGTCCTCTGGCCTGAATACAGAGAGGTGGGAGGCATTGATGAGTAATAGAGCGGAATTAGGTAGAGAATACTTAACTAAAGAACAGCACATCACCTTGGTAACGAAAGAGCATAGGGAAAGGTCGGCTACAATATTTTAACGACCCTGTTTGAGGCACAGCCTACCTTCCAGAATTGGGATCGTGTCTGTAAATCTGACATTGGATTGTATAGCTATGGTAAGCCTTGTTTCTGTCAGTGAAAACCTCAAAGTGCACTGAATCTTCGAACGTTTTCCGACCGATGCGTGCTATTACCACCAGATAAATGAACTAAATACCTAGATTTAGAGTTGGTCAAGACTGCAACGCAACCCTCTCTGCTTAACTGTAGCCTGACATTTTTACAGCTATTGACTAAAGGAGTTCACTTAAAGTTCTTGTGTGTGGTTCGCGGAGTTATGTGCAATAAGCGGTCTTTTCTTTACAGGTTCTGAAATTTCTGATGTAGTGAACTGCAGGAATGGAGTGGTGGTCGAGCGCTTTAAAGTTGGTGATTTTTGGCAGGGATTTGAGAGCATAAAAGGTGTATAAATACTCTACAGTATTTCTTCTGTTTGTGATACATACGATGTATTATTATTATCATTATTATTATATTACTGTTGTGTTTTTTTTTTGTTTTTGTGTAAATGCCGTTTTTGCAATTTATTTGTTGTTTTTGGAATTAACCATCGTTTAAACTCTGTCCAACTAGATCGTCCTTTGGATAGCAATGGCGAACCAATGCTGTTAAAACTCAAGGTATCTTATCTCCTAGCTATTTATGTTTTTTCTCCTTTTCTGTGAAATCTCTTTTACGTGACACATCACAACATTGCCCATTGAAACTGTATCTTTTGGCCTTACTGCTTGACAGCGTATTTTTTAAGCGTGTTGTTAAGCCTTTGACCCCTAAAAGTGGCTCGCATCTAATTTCTCCTTACACCATCACCCCTTGATCACACAATAAGGTCATGAGAATAAACGAAATGATCACTTACTAAAGAGGCTCTTGGAAAATTCTCCTTGTAAGCGCCTTGGGAAATGTATTAAGAACAGTATGGAGAATATGTATATTGATGTTAGGGTGTAAAGGGTTACGCAAATGTTCATGTCGTAGTGGGATTCACTGTTGGTTAGCGAAGAAATCCTATTTGGTGCGAGGTCCAGTAAGGAGGGCTCTTACTCCATCTCCGCGCATGAATACCTTGATTCTAGCATACTTCTTATCCATGCTCGTTTGATTACAGGACTGGCCACCGAAAGACGACTTTAGTGAAAAGCTGCCCACCCGGTAATCCTTTTTTGTTGCTCGAAGTCGCAGTTTGTGGTTAGACGTATTTTTGTCCCGAAATACATTTCTCCCGTAGAATAAGTTAGTTAAAATTGATGGTTTTTTTTTCTTGTTGTTGTTCTCGTTATTTAAAAGGTTTGAAGATCTGATGAACAATGTCCCTTTACCAGAATACACAAGGAGAGATGGCTCACGAAATTTAGTCTCGAGGTATTCAGTTGTTATGTACATCAGTCCTCTTCGATTTCACGTGAACCGTTACTTTGCAATGGGTGATCATTGTTGTTTGTTTGAAGTGAGAAAGGTTTAGACTCGCAGCGAATTAGGCTGCATCTATACCAGCAAAGTTACATCCATTACCTGAGAACAGTTTACTTTCACAGTGCCTCTCAGGAGAGGGATTTTTAAAGGAAGGGGGGGGGGTCACACAGTGTCGAACAGAGGGTACTAACCAGACTGTTATCTCGACCTCCATGCCGTATTTTACTAAATGTGTCAAAAAAAGCTCACAAAGGGGGTGGGAAGGGGGGGGAGAGCAAGGACAACCCAGCCCCCCTAACTACACCCTTGATCCCAGTAGTATAAATTAGACCCGCGAACTGTCAGGGTAGCCCGATAAAATGCTTGGTGGGTAATCTTGCCATGGACTGGCATCCCATCCAGGGGGTAGTAGTAGTAATACTCTTAGCTGCTTCATGCTATGGAAACCGGTATTAGCTCCGGCCAGATAAGCCACTAGGCTCCATTACAGTTTTCACCTTCGAACACTTGTGAACGACACTTGTCGAGGAGAGCGAGCTTGTCGGTGGAGAATGTCTGAAACCCTTTGCAATTTCCTCGACAAGTGTACTTATTGAGTACTATCTACAGCAGCAAATTTCGTGTTTGACGAGTTCCATGATCAGAACCTGGCATTTTTGTTTGTGGACAGTGGGTATTGTTAAAGAAAAACGTGTTCCTTTCACAACCAGGTCTATTCCTTACTCTCTTATCTCACTATACAACGGGCTTGTGGCTCTGATAGTGCATGTTCGTGAAACGAAAAGATAATTTAGCGTTTTCTTTTTTTTTTATTTTCCCCCAATTTACTGAAGGTTACCAGACTTCTTTGTCAAGCCAGATTTAGGGCCAAAAATGTACAACGCGTATGGTAAGGTTTCATTGTCGTGAATGTTATTATCACTTGTCGTCATTTTGTATCTCTCTATTTTATTTTTTTTTTAATTTGACGATAGATTAGGTTCGTTCTTCGCCTCTCTCGAGTACTGTCCTCGTTTTCCTCGAAAGAGCGTGGCTCATTTCTCGAACAGCGGCTGGTCATCGAGCCAAACAAGATATATGTAGAGCGAAAAATACCAAGCTAATATTGAGACGTAGCTCCTTCCTCCCATCAGATTTGTTTATTGTATATTCAGCCTCTTATCAATCAAATAACGTTTCCTTTACTGTTAAATCGATTTGGCGAATGGTTCTTAAAGGCTGTGTGCTACTCTACTACTACCATTGGTAACTTGCTTCATTATCAATGACTGTGTTTTTTTCAGGTTCCGCAGCATGTCCTAAGGAAGGAACAACGAACCTTCATCTGGATATGTCAGATGCTGTTAATATCATGGTTAGTAGCATTGCGTAGAGATAAGTGTTCTTTGGTACTTTGTTTTTTCCTCCTTTTATAAGAACAATGACGGTGTAGTGTCCTATCACCTGCACACATTTATCGCCTGATTCCTCGCCGATGAACTTCTTTAGGACGCTCTTTTCGAGTCGCACTTCGCTTAATGCAGCCAATTTGCCAACTGGGCAATGTTTCCGATCATAGCAAGCTTGTTCCTCGCGTTTCGGCACTGTTAACCAAAAGGACCATTGATAATATGGGCGAATTTAGCCGATGCGATGGCTGTTTGCTGATACATGCATAGTGGACTGGTCATGTGCAATGACCTCACTTATCACACACCAGAAACTAGAGACAGTATAGCGTTAGTTGCCGATGTAATGCCAGCGTAATAACGCCTTTATCGTTTTGCAGGTGTACGTTGGAGTGCCGAAAGATGAAGGCGCCGGTGATAAGGAAAGACAAGGTAGATTGTTAAAAAAAATATTGTTGCGTTTATATAGTATAGATGTGAAGGAATCTCTTTTCAAACAAGGGTTTTATACATTGAAGGTGTCAGAGGCAAGTTGATATTATCTCTGTCGTGAGACTTGTCGTCAGTTATCCTGGAGACTTAAGTTTCTACTAATCACCGTAATTTCAAATTTTACCGCACAAGTTATTGATATAGAAGATAAATTGCGACAAAATGTCTAGGTGAATTTCAATTACACACTTATGGCGATAGTTTTAACTTTAATTAAATGGAGCGTATTCGTGTATGGTCATCTTCATTATACGCAATACAGTGAGGAGTGCACTTCGCGCTCTCATGCCGACTGTGTTGGCTGTGTGCTATGGAGACGACAGGTTCCTAATCGAAAAATGGGAGGAGGTCGTATTGAACAAGAGAAAGATGGTCACGAATTTTTATGATTTTCTATTATGCTTTTAGCCCTAATATTTCAATATCCTCCGTTCCTTTTGTCAGATGCCATCAGAGCAGTGGACGAAGCGTGTGACGAGTCTCAGAGGACACGAGTCCGGAATGAAACAGCCAGAATTGTAAGCATAAGTTTCAACTTCTTAGATCTTTTGCAAAGGCTCTCCCGGGTTCTGATCTAGGAACTGGTAACATAAGAAGAAGCTGAACGATCAGAGCAGTCAAAATGACTTGGAGCTTTAGAGCGTTTCGTCTAATTTTTATCAGAATTCCATCGGAATATTGATGAAGTCGAAGAATTCATAGAGGTTGGCAGGCAGTTCTGATTGATAACAAACTTGTCATTTTGAATGGACAAGTCTGGTTGGTCTGTTAATCCGTGGTATGTATCTAAATGCTTTGCTTTTTTCAGGGGGCTCTGTGGCACATCTATGCAGCAGAAGATGCGGATAAGATCAGGGATTGTCTCCGCGCGGTGAGTGTCTCGTTCTTGTCCTCGAAAAGTACGACATGCTGCGGCCAAAAAAAGAAAAAACGGAACTGTTGTATGTTCTGTTACGCCGTGTCTCATCGTTTGTAGTGATCCGTTTATCTAGATCCCATAGTTTAACTCTATTTTTGCTCATGTTCTGTCAGTAAAACGTTTTCAAGTTAGAAGAACCTTATGAACGTTAAGAACTGTTTCTCACGCATATGATATTTATTTTGTCTTAATTCAGGTGGCCAAAGAACGGAAGATGAAATATTCCGCTCATCACGACCCCATACACGATCAGGTTTCTGTTGTTACTCTGTCCTTTTACTTGTTTATTTGTTTGTTACGTCAACTGGATGAAACGCGAAGACCGAGTTCTTCTTTTTCATTTAAATCCTTATTCAGTTAGAAATTTAGCTTTTCTGTACTCCTTGATTTTCTGTCAAACGTTCAAGTCTTTTACGACGCCTTACTAATTGGAAGACTTAGATTACTCAGTAGAAAGCAGGGTAAGTCAGCAGGAAAGAAGGATAACTTTTTGGAGAATGTTGTTTTCAAGAGAGAACTAAACTACTTTTGTTGTTTTTGCAGTGTTTTTACCTGGATCATGAAATCAGACAGAGACTGAAAGGGGAATATGGAGTGGAAGGCTGGGCGATCTGTCAGTGCCTGGGTGATTCTGTGTTCATTCCAGCTGGAGCCCCTCATCAGGTACTTTATCAGTAAGTTGTATCGGAGCGAGTTTCTCTCGAAGCAGTGTACGAGTTGGGGCTGAGTGCTGGCCATGGTTATCTTGCTTAATTTATGATCAAAATGCTAGAATTTAATCTTTCACAGTACCTCTACTTAGGATCATTTAACTATGGGACAACATGTAGATGCGATTTAGTTTCGCGCACTTTAAGAAAAATTATTGAGGTACCTGTCAATCGGAAGCAGTGTGGGATTCCATTGGTTATGTTATACTATGCTATGGGATTGGTCTAAAAAACTCGCGCCGCGATCCTAGCAAATCAGGTAATAAGCTGAAACCAAGGGCGGCATGGTCACCCTTGTGAGTACGTGTACTTGTTTGGCGTTTTGACAGGCCCCATGTGATATTCCTTTTTGTACTAATCGGCTATCATGATAACTTGGGTTTTGGGGTTTTGATTGATGACTCCCTATCGAAAGTTACTCTAATTCTTTGACTCTCGCAGAGTTATGATTTATGTCTTATAACCAATAGCTTAACATAAGTTTACAATCGTAATAAAACACGAAATTCAAAAAGCGTCATTTTCTTACTTCAAAATACATTATTTCAGCTGTTAAATTAATTACTTTTCATTTTAGGTTCGAAATCTCTATAGCTGCGTTAAGGTGGCTGAGGACTTTGTTTCTCCAGAGGTAGGACTAGTATTTGTTTGTTATGTGTTCCTGTTGTTTTTCAAGGCGGGTGGGGGAAGGTGAGAGGAGAGGGGGGGAGGGAAGGGTCCTGATTTGATTTTAAGGCATGCTACGAAGGAAACTACAAAGTGTGTTGAAATGTCTTTGTTTGGCTGATTTTACACGGTTAGGCGTTATTTTAATCGTGCTGTTTGTGTTTACATCCTAGCGTATTGATCACTGTTTCCGGATGACTCAAGAGTTTCGTCACCTGTCAGACAAACACACAAACCACGAGGACAAGCTACAGGTAAATTCTTTTACTTGGGTCTGTCATTCAGTCCGTCTGTCAGCCCATTAGTCAGCAAGTCAGTCAGTTAGATAGTTATTCATTCAGCACGTCATCCAAAAAAACCGTCATCCAGATAGACAGTTAGTTAGTCAGTCAGTCAAACAGTAAGCCAGTCAGTTAGTCTGTTCGGTCAGGTAGTCAGTCATCCAGACAGACAGACAGACAGTCAGCCAGCCAGTCAGTCAGTCAGTCTGTCTGTCTGTCTGTTAGTTTGTCAGCCGCCCAGTCAGACAGTCAGTCGGTCATTCATGCGATCAGTCAGTCTGTCCATCGTAAGTAGTTTCTTCTCTTTTCCACTCAAGGTTAAGAACATCATCTTCCATGCAGTGAAGGACGCTCTTCATTCCCTTAAATATCACGAACAAGAAATCACCGACAAAACACAGAATTCATCGGATGGAATACACTGAATCTTTAATGTTAAGTTTTACTATCTTTGTATAGTTAAGCTTGCAAGTATCGCTAATCTGACAAATAAGTTATAACTAAGTTTTAACCTTTTCATATATATTCCGTCAAAGTTTAAAATAGTTGCTAAGTGTTATACGCTCTCCCTTCTAGTAATAACTCTTAGATTTTAAGCGAAAAAACATAGTTTACTTTCATCTCTAGCATATGGTATTATTAAACGCAGAATATGAGCGTAGCAGGACTTTCCAGACCCGCCTCTCGCCAGCCCGCTCAGCTCAAGGCTTCATACTGTTACGCGGCGGAAAAACGCTGGTACCAAAGTACGCGGGCTTGCTGGCAGGTAGACTACTTGACTGCCAAACGAACATTAGTTATTTAAAATTTGTATTCATCACACATTTGCATTAATCCACGTTCGACTAGTATTTTATTCATAAAAAGCACGCGAATATCTGGTTCTAAGTCAATTTATTCAGAGTGTGTCCAGAATATATTATGTTATCTCAGAGTATGAAAAGTACGCTTTATCAATAATCTCAGTGTTCCAGATTTGAAGTTAAAGCAGTATATAGATAGGAGGATGGACTTACTCCAAAACAATGGTTGTATTTTCATTTTGTTTCTGTTGTAACTCCATTCTTCCGTTATTGTAGTTCAGTGTAGCAAAGAATGACTTTCGTTTCCCGGAAGAAGATTTCTCGCCGAACTTGTAGATATTCTTCCTTAGCTTAAAAGAACCAGTTGACAGTCAAATTTTTTTTCACACTGAGAGTTATTCCCTTGCTCTGCAACTCCAAAGACATGATTAGTGATTCTCCTTTCCAGTCGCTAAACATTTTCTTGCTAATTAGTTAAGAGAAATTTATGTTTCATCAGGATGAAATCCGCAAGCGGATACTTTTGTCTTTTCTCATCACCTGGTTCTTTAGATAATTTATTGTAGTTGTAAGGAGAAATTACATGCAAGTCAGTTCTTGGAGTTGAAGGGTGTAAACCACCAAGGTGTTACGTCCAGTCAGAGGTGCTCTCCAAATGTTTTTCAATTTTATCCGAGTTACCTTTTTTATTCGTAAACTTACGTATACTCTTGATTTTTTGTCGTTTTCCTCTTTTTTTTTTTTTTTTTTTTTTTTTTTTGTCTTCTCTAGAATATAAAGATTTTGTATACCTAGCAAAATATTCTTGTCTTACGATGTTGTCACCTCCGATGTGAATCGCAGCTTTTCAGCTATGCACTGCCAATCGTCTTTAGACAATTTTTTTTTAGAATGCAAAAGGAAAATTCAAACATGACGTAGCGCCTTTTATGACTGTCTTACTCAAACTGATCACCTGTGGTCGGTTTTTTCTTGTGTGATGGTTGGATTTCCACACTGCTTTACTAAGTGTTTTTAGTGCATATTATTTTAGGAAACATCTCTTTCACAGTTGTTATGTAATAAGTACAGATAATAGGTTTTCGAGTGAACAATATCGCACCGCACCAAGCTAATTATAATATACTTTACAAATTTTAGTACAGTTTCTTGCGCAGCCGTTACCTGAGTCGTCACGCAACGCACACGGTCGCATTACGAGTCACACAGCAGATGCAACGAGACTTATAGTCAAAAAAACTTCTTGCCAAAGTGATGAGGAGGTAACCGGCTAAAGAACTACTTAACTATTGTATATACATTTCCTGATAAAAACTTTTGACACTTGAAGAGCCAACGTTATGATCGAACTACTTTTATTAATTACTGTGGTGGCTAAAGTCTTCTTGCCGGTACCTCATCAAATACTTTGTTGCATAAGAAGGAGAAGCGTTTTGCTCTCCTCTTCGCAGTCTTCGTAGCTTCGCAGTCTTCAGTTTTGTATTATTGAGTTGTTTGGTGTAAATAGAGCAACTGGGAGCTTTCTCTTTATTGGTTTGTATATTTTCAGCTTTATTCTACAAACGCAGCATATGCGCACAGCTTTTGGCTGCTTGAAAATAAAGGTATTTTTGTATAGACAAAATATAAAGTGCTGCCCTTGTTGTTGTTGTTTTTCAGTCATTAAAGTTTTAGTGGGAGAAATAAGATCTAGGAACTTGGTAACCACTCTTTCTACGTTCAAGTCGTTTGCTTAGGAAAAGTTTGCAAACATCTCAGGTCAGTTCGCAAGCATAGGTGACTCGCAGGCGAAACGACCTTAGAAGTGGAAATTTTTAACAAGCTATCCAGCTTCTTCAAAATAGCCTGATGGCACAATTTTCAACTGAGTGTCAAAAGTAATTTACGATTACGTTATTTTACTTAACTTCGCTCTGCGATTGGTCCAGAAAACTCGCACCATCTTCTCAACCAACCAGATTCTAAACTAAAACTAACGATGATTTGGTCACTCGCATTTTCCCGCCTAAATATGCCTGTTTTAACTCGGAGTTCTAATTGACAAATGACGGAGTCAACCTTCGCTTCAATTGGCTGTAGTGATTACTTTGGTCTGGCCTTTTCCGGTGAATTTAAGAGAAAACTGCTCTAAAAGTGAGTTTTTGTTTGATATCAGGAATTAAGAACAATCGAAAACCAAATTCACTAGTATCACTCGAAACTTGCGATGTTCTTACAAGTTCAAATCGGACAAAGAAGCAGTTTCAGTAAACCGATGTTCAGATTAGAGCAGTTTTCAATTGAATGTCTAAAGAGCCGGCGATTGTACTGGCTTCACTTAACCTCGCTTTGCAATTGGTCCATAAAACTCACGCCACTCTCTAATCAATCTGATACAAAACTCCACCCAATTACGAATTGGTTACCCGCGATATTCCGCGCCTTAGGCAGTGGAGGGGATGGGGGGCAGGAGCCCGGGAGAACAGGCGGGCGGGAGAGGGCGGGAAGCGGGATCTATATGAAGGCGGGAAGCAGGAGCAGAAATAAAGAAAGAGATAGTTTGTTGTTTATTAATGGGTTTTATTCAGTCAAAAACACTTATTTAGCAAAGTTTTGAAATTTCCATTTAACATCCACCAATGCTTAAAAGAAAATTTTGGAAGCAAGAAAACGTAAATTTGTACTCGGGCTGGAAAAACAGCATTTATTCCGGTGAATTTGGAAATCCCTTCAATTCGATTACGTCATAGGTCATGACCTGTAATAACTTTCATCGGGACCCAATGATCCCCCCGCCGAAACAAAGGTCAGAAAATGAACAAGAATGTTAAGTTTTGGCACAGTTTGAAAGTTAAACCCGGGGTTTCTGATCCTCTTGATTAACCTGACGACGGGAGCAACACCATGAAGGGTGGGAGTCGGGAGGCAAAGGGGCACAAAACAACGGGAGGTGGGAGAACATGGTACGGGAAGCGGGAGACTCTGACCCCCCTGTCTCACCCCATTAGGCAGATATTTTATTTCTTCTTATTATTTTTTTTTTACTTTAAGGTTTAAATGGCTCCTTAGGGTATTATCCTTTTTTTGATTGGTCCCTATGATTACTTTGGTCTTGCTGTTACGATACTCAATCTAGAGATGCTCCTTTGTAGATAACAGCAAATCATTTATTCGCGCCTTTAACCCCACCCAGTTTAAGTCAGTGATTAGTAACGACACGCACTATGTCTCACTGCGACACTCCGCGAGAAACGTCGCAGCAACAATGCTCTTCGCCAAGATACGTTCTTACGATAGAATATTGTCCTCTTACAAACTGCTAAAACTGGTTTAGATTGTTCGATGATGGCAAAGAGTTTTCTCGAGTCGTAACGAGTTGTTTTTGGAATGGTGACTGGAAATGTCACTTAGAATGCGTGACCCTTATCAGAAGTTTCGCTGTGCAGAAATTAGGAACAGGTAATAGGGCACTCCCAAAATCGGCACAAAATTGTCGGCTCTCATCAATCATAGTATGAGCTCCATGGCAACCACTCGCCACTTTGTTTAGCAGAGATGAGTCCTAACACACCCCGTTTCAACAAGGATAACCAATGACTAAAGGACTAACAAAATCCTTGCTCGCTCATCTGGTAACTGGACAACATAACGAAAAAGTTGTTGTTCTAAGACCCCGCACACTCAAATAAGTAAGGAGCGGAGGCGTTGGAACTTCGCCAACAGTTAGTCCCAAAGACATAAACAACGTTCATAGAATACCAGTTAGAGAAACGAGCTCACCCCTTCAAAGAGAAGACACGATTCAATATGCAATATGTTGATCCTTTTGTGGGTCAATCAAAGCCTTCCTGTGACACAAGGAAAGATTAGCGGCTTCTGCGTTTTCCTTAATGGGCTATTGATTTTCCATGAGGCAAAAGAGGTAATTACCAAGAAGAGTTTCAGTCGAAAGGTTAAATGTTCTACAAGTTGTTAACTTATTAATGTAAATCAGTCATGACTGACGAATTGTGAAGTCGACTGAAGCATGAATTTGAAAACTTTAGAGTTGAACGGGGTGGTATGGACATTAAGAACGGGTGCGATTTGCGGTTATGAAAAGAAATAAAAACCGCGTTTACTCAAATGACCCAGGTTGGCGTTAATGAGCTTTTGAGAAATTTAAACCGATCGGCTTAGTCACTCACACTAACGTTTTCCACTTTTGAAGAGGCTTTGTCGTGAGCATTTCCTTAGAAGTTGTTTCACAGCTACAACGAAGTAACTTGCTGCCATTTGAATTGTCCATGTATACCGGCGAACATGCAAATGATATTATCTTTTTTACCTTTAACCTGTGAGCAAATAGAGAAGTCAGATCCAGACCAGTTTTCATTATTAGTAGTTTTTAACCCTTTTAATTGTCTTGTTTTACTGTTTTTTTTTTTTTGAAGCCCTTGCCAGCTTTCATTACAAAACCGCTTTCAGAACCTAATACTGGGAAGAAACACGTCAATTCCGGATTTATTTTCATCAACCACAAATCTTATTCCTGTATGGAAAAAATAATCCGACATTCAGCTGAAACAGCTGCTCGAATTGATATGTCATTCATAACGAGGAATAACGCTCGAAACAGCAGCTACAGCAATATAAAAAGTTTTACAACACTCTGAAGTCAGACGTGCCTCCTCTAGACAGCTTTTTTTCAAAAGCAAATGCAAAAAAAAAAGAGCGGTTTTAACGAAAATGAAAAGTTCTCGACGGAGCCAGGATTTACACAGGAAGTAGAGGAACAAGGAAAGAAAGAAAAATGTTTCACTTAAACTGTACATACAATAATGCGAAAGATCGATTCAGGTTACTAAATTTGCTAAAACTAGAACTTCCAGTGGAAAGCTGAAAGCATATGACGGAAATTTTATTTTAGAACCGGTTACGTCAACTCGAAGTGGTTCAAAGGTTGTGCGTATTAAATCCGCAACACTTCAAAATAATGAAAGTTCGGCAGAAATATTCTTACTCTGAATATTAAAAGTTTATTAATCACGCGAACTTGATTTCTACCAAACGTTGCGCGTTTGAACTCCATAGCATACCAGAGAACTCGAAGTTTAGGACAAACTGTCATGCTTTGAAAAAAATGAAGTTTTCTTCCTCTTTGAAGCATGCGAATTTGCTGTGCATCGTAGATTTGGGTTGAAAATTTATTCTAGGGGTTGACGAAAAATTCGAACGATCTGAAATCAAACCAGACTTTCTTGCATTTGCCTCTACGCTCTTTTACATAAATTTCATATGTACAGGTTATTTATATGGAATTCCCAACACTATCGCAAGTTTAACCTTTGGTTTGACCCCTTTTACGTACGGAGTCTCATTGAAGTGCTTTCGTTGAAAACAACGCAATCCTAAAAATAGCTAGCAAGGCTGTTTTCTTTAATGATGTACCGACTGTGGAAATTGACCCACACCAAAAGTTCATACATCACACGTCAGTGGATCACCTTTGCATGGTTAAAATCTAGATAATCTTAATGAGAAACTTTGAAGTTGTAGCAAACATAGACAATAATTGTTACAACTTGTAAAATAAGTTAGGTTCCAAATTTATAGACAATATATTTACAAATATAAATACAAAAATGGAATGGGTATATTTCCAATGGTTTTTCTGCCAAGGACAGTTTTTACATGGAAAAATTCCCTTTGCAGCATTTTTTCCTCAAAAGCAACTCGATTTAAAATCTTGTTGAAACAACAAACTTAGTGTAATAAACTGAGCGGTATGGACTCATTCCAGCTCTTGAGTGGGAAATAAATTTTATGTCCATAGACGGACAGATCTTTTTACACTTAACTGTGTTAATTGCTTAGTCTGTTTGCATTTCTATCAATAAAAAAAAAAGAAAACGTGAAATCACCAGCTAATTTGTTTAGAATACCAACAGATATTGTAAAAGTATTTCCAAAAAGTATTCATAGCTAGTTTTCAATTGATTCAGCAGGTGGACCATTTAAGTTGATCCTCTCAACTTGGAAACTATTCACTCTTCCACACAAAATGAGAATACTCAAACCCATCTGGTTTAAGTTGGTTACCTTGATTAAACACTACATTCTCCTAACTAATTTACAGAGAAATGTTTGGCAGCTATAAGGGAGAATTAGCTACAGATGTTGAGAATTTAACCCTTTAACTCCCTGATCAAATTTGTAATTCTCCTTACCGTCAACGATATAATTCTTATAATGTTTGTTCAGAGAATTTAGTATTGGATCAACTAATTAATCCCCAAATTGATATTTTTCTTCATTCTCATCACTTATCTGGTTGATATTGTATTGATATTGTAAGGAGAAATTATGTCTTGGTCACTCATTGGAGTTAAAGGATTAATAGCTAAAATGTAACTTCAGGTGAAGGAAATAAGCAACTTTGTTTGGATGTTACAAGTATGTCGATACAATTAAGGAAATTTCCAATGGCAAGAAGTGAGAGTATCCAATCTTAGTATTACAAGGGTTATCAAATGTTTTTACTCCAATTAGAGGATTTCAAGTTATGCTGGAATTAAGGTTGCTAAAAAAATAACTCCCATGAACAATGTGAAGGTTATAAAAGGTGTCAAGAATTTCCACACAGGCCAGAGTGCATAAATGGAACTGCAAAAGAAAGTGAAGTGACTGATATCACAATTATCAATGTACTCAAGCAAATAACTATCACTGCCGCTTTTACATCCTGTCTATTCTCCCAAAACCTTGAACAATCAGAGTGATTCAGCTACCACACTAGCTATCCTGATCTTTCAACCCCCTTCTAAACTTTATCCATGTTCAACCTATCATTCTAAGATCAATAGTGACTAAGTTATCCATAACATGAGATATTAATCAAGAGGCTAGAATGCTGGACTCAAGATCAAAAGATCAAAGTCTGAATCCTACTCAGGATCAAAGTGTTGTGCTGTCAGTCAAACTCATTAGTCTTGTTGAGCCTCCCTCTATCCAAGAGTAACAATTTATGAGAACCACCAAGCTATGGGGGAACCACCTTACAAATTACTAAGGTTTACCAACAATGGATATGCCCTATTCTATGGAGAGTGGGAATGCTTCAGATCATTTAAAAACCAAAGAAAAGCAGGATTAAATCCACAGCTTAAATGTATGCAAGTCAGCCCTATATAAAGAACTCACCCAAATTATCTCCAGTAACTGTTACAAATGAATAAAGAGACCTATGAGGAATCTTGTACAAAATACCAAGATGTAGGGGAACTACCTGACAAACCACTAAGGTTTACCAACAATGGATTTACTCTAATCTATAGAGAATGGAAATGCCTCTGGTTATTACAACCAATAAAAAGCACAACAAAATTACTCTGATGAAGAGCTAATGCTCCAAAGGTCAGCTTTTAAACTCTTTGCTGTGGCCAATTTATGTTATCAACTGAATTGAATAATGCTAAATTACCCTGTTATACTCTCCCATTGATGCATCACAGTTTCTTTAGAAATTTAACTTACCCCCCACAAATGAATAAAGGGGGAGCTTCTAAAGAAACTGTAGAGTTAAATCAGTGAGGGCATTGAAAAAATTGGCCACTTGACCATAAAGAGTTTCTAAAGCTAATATTTTAAGCATTAGCCCTTTGTCAGAGAAATCATAGAATCTGCACTTACCAAATCATTCCAACAATAAAAGATGCAGTGGCAATTGGGATGATGTAAGGAGAGTGCTTTTCCCAATCTGTGATCTTCTTATAGTAGCTGAGCCATAGGACACAGTAACAACCAACGCACAAGTTGAATCCTATGAGAGCACCTCCTATGTACAACCATAGTCTGATATGCAAAGACATTATAAAAAGGAATAATGAAAAAAAATGTGTGAACTTATGTCAATGATTTTAGGATAATGCAAAGTCTAATCATGAGTAGTTATTTCTTGGAACATCTGTCTTAAATCATTTAGTTGGTCATCAGCTTCCACCTTAGACAATCTATACCGTAGCACCTGCAAGAGTTTTGACAAAGGTTTCAAGATATGTTAATCCAGTCTTCACCCCAAGCTTTTCATATGTCTCTGGAGTGGGAGGAAGAGAGGGAGTCACCCTTATGGATTTCAGTTCATAAAGTTGTTTAATGGCTTTTCTCAGAGGTAACTGTCAATTTATTTTGTGGTATCAGTGATCATCCAGGTGAGGGTAACCCTCAAAAGCAAAATTGAAGTCACAGGGTCTGACATTTGACATTTCTACTCAATCATGTTGTCTAAGCTTCAGTCACTGTCACTGATTGTCCTTTTTCAGTAATTCCTACAACCATATAATTAGTCACCACTTTATTGACTGTGAGGTGGCTGTCAAGGGAAAACCACATGATATAGCTGTAAACTAGTTAATAATTTGCAGGCATATCATGTGGTTTTTGTAGTTTTTAATCCAAAGTTGTCAGAATCACAAGAGAGATGTGGGAGTTGGCAAATAAAATATAAGCACCTGGAACAGGTATTAGATACATGCACATGATGTAGGATTAGAGTAGAAGGTAAATGCTATTTTCTTTGCATAATACAGGTATAAATTATCTCATTTTTTCATGAATTTTCAAATTTAGTAAACAAGCAGAGGTTTGTGTGCATGTATTTTAGATGTTTTCTATCAAAATTTAAAATTTTGAGGGCATGTATAAAGTATCTTGTGGGGCAGAATTTGTCAGAATTAAGGTCTATCAAAACCCTTTTGACTACCCTGGCTGCACCTGATATGATGTTCTACAACCCGCTACTTCACCCTTTAACCCCCATGTGTGACCAAAGCAGAATTTCTCCTTAAAATTTCAATACAGTATCAAGCAGACAAGTGATGAAAATAAAGAAAAATATCAATTAGGGGATTATTAGTTGATTCAATAACAAATTCTTTGAACTAACAAAGTAAGAATCGTATAGCAGACAGAAGGGAAAACTATTACTGTGATCTTGGGAGTGAGAGGGTTGAACACACGTAGCAAATGAGATAAAAAAAAGACTATATTTAACATAGAAATTGTCAAACCACGGTGTATAATCTTACAAAAAAACTACCTGTACTTCAAAATAAGTCTTACGGGATGAATAGTGATGAGTCAAATCTCTGGCTGGCTCACCTATGTATTCGTGGATCGAACCTCACAGCGACATAAAAGTCCGTGTAATAGAACACAGCTATTGCAGCTATCATCCAAAACACAGAATGAGGGTTTATTCGAGATTTTGATGCTGGGTCATTCTCTCTCAGTAGTCTTTCTCCTTCTTCTCTTGCCCTCTCTAGAAAATCGTAGGTAACAACGTATTTGGGTAAATCATACAACATAAACAATATAATTTTATTCAAAGCTTCTTACTATTTAAAAGAGAATCATATCGTATATCTCTACGACGAAGTAATGCCTCTTGAAGATCGTCGTTAAGTTTTGATCGATCCTGGAACGCCATTTTTTGGTACACTTACACTTAGAACCCGCCCCGCTGAGTTTAAAGTACAGTGGGCGCATAGAGGAATTTGATCACCGATCAATCACAGGAAGTACGTGACAGTCCTCGACGGGCGGTGGATATGCAACCTAAACGCGAACGAATTATTCTGTATCTTAGTCACGTCTATAGAGGAGGCTGTTTTTTCTTTAGTAACATAAATGACGAGCTTAAATCTGTTAGAAATCTCTTTCATAATCCTTGTTGTGCACTTGGGTTTTCTGCAAGGCAACTCAGGTGAGAAAAGCTTGGACGCTGTGCTTAGTCTGTTTTCTGTTTATTCTCTGTTTATAATGATTTCCTCGCGGTTGTAAAGGATGATAATCATCGCTCAGCTTTATTTCTCTGTCTTCGGTTTGAATGAACTTAAAAGTTAATTTTTATTTTCCTTCTAAATGTAGATAAAGAGAGCAGTTTTAGACAAGAAGTGCGAAGCTACCAGTTCGTCTCACCGCGGTTAAGCCTTAATCAACAAGGCCGATGGAGAAGAACAAGAGATACTTCAACGAAATCAAGTTCGGTGAGTGAGCCAATATTAGACAATGATGACACAATTTTATGGCTCTTTCTTTCTGATCTGAAGATAACTGTGTGTTTCATGTTGTCGGGCCCAAATTGATTTGACTTCCTGAATTCTTCCTTTACGGAGCTCGACTGTTGCCGCGCGATCAGCAAATTGCAGCGCACTTCAATAGAATCATCGACCAAATTTTCTTTTAGGGTGGTCATTTGGGAAGAGTAACGTTTTCCCTTAGAGGATTTGGCAAGGAATTTGTCTTAGATGTTGTACAAAACCGGTAAGCCTTGTTACTTTGTCTAACACAGATTTCTATCTTAATTTTTTTGCGAAGCTTTTTTAAAAAGTTCCGTGATATTCCCACAGATTGGGCTCATCGAATTTTTGTTCTTGTTCCACAGCGTTTTGTTCTCCGCCAATTATGTGTCAAGATATTTTAAAACGGATGGTGGAGAAATCATTTCCAAAAATGAGGTTTGTTCATCCTATTCACAGAATAAATTTAATTAGGATTATTTCATAGCCGACTTCGGTTCATGTAAAGCGATTTGGGGTTTTCTTAAGAGATAGCCCGGTATTTGCTAAAGTCAAAAGGCCTAATCTTCTTCGCACAGTTGCATGTCAAACATAGGTGTTTACAAAAATTCCTTTTGAGTTTGTTTGCCGAGCAATTATTCTCATGTTCTTCAAACAGGGAGCGGTATACCATTAGCTTGCCTGGGTGATTCGCCTCGTTTCTAAAAGAGATGCAAAATTCTGTCGAAGGCTAATTTGACATGTGTGTTTTGTTGTCGCAATTGATATTTGAAAGTGTAAAGTGACGTCCGATTCCTTGATCTAACCAGCCGACGAAAGCGATGAAATGACATGAAATGAGAGAGTGCATGAGACTTGAAACCGATTTATCGCGATTCGACGAGATAATTCTTGAAGTTCCTGTTGTTTTCTTGATTATGTCGAAATTAATTTTAAAAATATTATATTAAAATATATAACTGTTCACAATTATAATTTTGTTTATTGCGATCGAACACTGTTTAGTTCAGGGAATCACCTTGCTGTGCTGACATAAAAGGGCGTATATGACTTTTTTCCCTCCTTCATAGAATTCAATTGTAACATATCAGGTCATTTATGAGTAAATGGAAGGTTAATTAACATATTGACCAAGGCTCACAGGTGTGAGACAAAACATGACATTGAGCTTGCGTTAGATCTTCCTTCAGCTTGTGGCCAAACACGATATTTTGATCGTTTAATCCAACATCCAGGAAAAAAAATGTTTTAACACAAAATCGAGAAGTGTTGTTTCAGATTACAATGTTTGATTTTGCTGCACTGTATTAAAATTAAAAGTGTTGTATGGTGCCTGATACAGTTGGAATAATAGCCATTGTATAATTTTGTTTCATATCAGCTTGATTCATTCGTTAGCGGTGTGTTTTGTGTAGTTTATCTGCTCTCAAGGAAGGTGAAGGTCAACTAAACAACTTATCTTTTTTTACTGACCATAAGTATTAAGATTATTCATAAATTGGAACTAGAAAAAATGCATAGCTTAAAATATTATATGTAAGTTAGAAGAGAGAGAAAAAAGGTTGGTTTTGAAAATTTAAAGCAAAACATTCTCAGCACAAGTGTATATTGTTTAGGCGGAACCACTGCAGAACCAGGGATGAGAGTTGGGTACTTGTAAAAGGTCAAAAAATATTGAACTGTTTCCATTTGATTAATGTGGTCTCATTGCTTTATGAGGGTAATCAAGAATGTTGTGAACTAGGACTTCCCTTTCAGTTTTTTATTTGCTTTGAATCAAACATGCAACTTGCATGCAATGTATATCACAGAACAGGATCACCACTAAAGGTTAACTAGAATTTCTATTTTACTTTTGTAGAGAAATGAAAATTGTTTTTATCAAGGAAATATTCAAGGCTTGAAGCACTCAATTGTTGCTATTAGCACTTGTCAAGGAATCGAGTAAGTGAATAGTAATGGTGAATGAAAAGGAATTAAAGAAGACAAGGGGAAATCATTGTGTCTCATTATCTTAATAGTTTTGACATATTGAATGTTACAGTTAGGTTGGATTCTGTTTTATTTTGAATGTTTTTTGACTTGCTATGGTGAAGCTTTGCAAAGACTTTCTACTTTCCATACTCATCTTAATGCTACATTGAGAAATGGTTTTTTTGTCATGCAATTTTGTTGAGTATGAAACCAGATTTGTGTTGAAGTTTAACATGTCTATATTAATTTTTGGAAAATGTTCTAAGGGTAAATCATTTCATTATAAAAAAAAATAGTTCCTTGCCCAAACAAAAAGCCCATGAGAAACTCATCTGATGAAACATTTTAAATTTGTGAGAAATGTCTTTCACAGGGGAATGATATATGATGGGAATGAGACATATTACATTCAACCATTCCCTGGAAATGCAGACAGAGTAAGTTCTAGTTCCTTATGAGTGGTTCTTCATTAATGGTGTTTGTTTTTAATGACTTTTTCATTTCCCTTACACCATACATCATGATTGCTAATTATTGTGGATGACATGCTACTGTTTGGCCTGTTAACCTTTTAAACCCTAAGAGTCATCAGCACCTAATTTCTCCTACAATAATGTTGCTGAGTCATTCATTAAGATCTTGAGAAAAAAGAACTGATTGCCAACCTAAGAAGCTTCGATTGTTATACAAATTCTCCTTGTCAGTACCAAAAGAAAGGTATACAAAAGAGAATGGAGAATGTGGATGCTGATGTTAGGGTGTAAAGGGTTAAATGATGGAAGTTTGGGTTTCAAAACCTCTTCTTAAGGCTTGTGGTGGTAATTAGTATAGCAGTTCCTTAATGCAATGGCGTTAGATAAAGACATTTCTATTTGTTTTGTTTTTCTGTTTGTTTGTTTGCTTTTTTTTTTTTTTTTTTCGTTTTTTTGTTTTTTTTTTTTTACTTGTGAAATATTTTTAAGGTACCTTCTCTATAAATTGTAAGAAATTAAACCTAGTTAGAATATTCATATGCCTCTGAGTGAAACTTGCCATTTATCTCCACACACAGCATGTTATGTACCGTGCTTCAGACCTGAGAACTGGTAAAAAACATTGTGGTAAGTTAACACTATGCGAATTAAAATGATTTGTTCAGGATTTAAGACTTCAAGCATATATTGAGAGTCACAGTAAGCTTTATAAAATAACTCCAGTTTTTGAAATGTTAAAGACATAAATTTATTTACTATAGTAAGAAAAGAAATGGTTTTTTGACAGGTGTGACGCATTCTGATTTTACACATGCTATGGAGGATTTTGTTTCTCTAGGAAAACATCGGGTAAGGTTTCTTTATCTTTTCCTTCCCTTTGAATGGTTCTGTTGTTGTAGTTTCAAACCTTATGTATGGCCCAATTGTTGTGTCTTCATTTAAAATTTCTTGTTTTTTTAAATGATTTTTTTATAATTTTGTGATTGTCTCTATAGTCTCGCAGAAGTGTGATGAGTGAAACCAAATTTGTGGAGCTAATTATAGTCAATGATGGTAGTCAGGTCAGTTGAACACTTTTATACAATAGCACTGTTCTCTTTATATTTATTATGGGACTGACAAGGAGAATTTATTGGACAATCACTAGCTTCTGAAATTGGAGATCTTTTCCCTTATTTGTGTCACTTTATTGTTAGTAGAAATTAGTACCAGTCCCTCTCAGATGTTAAAGGGTTAATGGGTATTGGAACTAACACCCTATCCAGGAGGAGGACAATTAGTAGTAGTCTCCAAAACTTCAATCAATTCAGGCCACAACTGTGTGAGTCAGGCCAAGGTACCTACAACAACAACAACAACAACAACAACTTTATTTCCACCCTACATTTATTTACATGATACAAAAAATAATATATATATTACATGAAAAATGGAGAGAGTTCAGGCTGCCCATTATAACCATTGAGGGCTTAAAAGACAAAGCAGTTTTACTTAGGTTATTAATAAATTACTTTATTAAAGGGTCAGGTACCACACATGTGCACATCACATGCACACACCACACAAAACACAAAAGAAAAAAAAAAATTTATTAGAGGGGAGTGGAGGGTTGGTGTAAATACAGGGAGGGAGTAACCAGAAATGGGAGAATAATCATTTTTGAGGGGCCATACTTTGTTTGCAGGGTGAGGGTTTTTTCTGCAAGAAATTGGGGAGGGCATACAAAAACTGCATGCACACACTCACCCCCCCCCCCCATCTTATAAATAACAGTTCCTTCAGCAAACAAAGGGAACGTTAATGGTTAATGCTGTGGTGTATCATTTAACATGTCATTTATTGATTGTGAAATTCAGTTTCCACTGAATGGCTTTTTTCATTTTTTCTTAGTACAAGTACTTTAAGAGAAACAGGACAGCAGTTGAATATCGTTCAAAGATGATAGCTAACATTGTAGACTCTGTAAGTAATGAGGCATTGCTGTTAGACTTTCTGTATCATGTATATTGCTGTATGCAGTAAATACCAGCAATGAATAACATTGTGGTGCTATACTCTCAGCAAAATATCTTATGCTATGCACAATTTCATATGGCACTTGTTCAAAATTTAAGCTTTCTTCTCATGAATGTTTTCCTTGACAATGTAATGATAATGTAAGTAGAAATTACTTATGAAGAACTCCTTGGTACTAAAGGGTTTAAAAAGATTGCTAACAGAACTTGAAAATCTAACTCCCCTCCATTCAACTTTGTTTAACGTTAAATATATGTGCAGGAAAAGTGCTCTGTTTGTGAGGGACTTAGATTAAATTTGAATTGTCATCAAATCAGAGCATGACATATTGAGCAGTGATGAAGAATATGCACTCCTTTGTTTGAAACAATTGCAAACTATATGCAGATGCTAGGAAATCAAAGTCAGCAATTGTAAAGTGGTCATACAAAGCAGACTGAATATAACATGTGTTAAAATGTTTAGTTCAATCAGGGAAAGTGATTGAATTTTACCTTAATGTCAGAGAATTAGCATCCAAATTGGGACATCAGGAGATTTGCTCTGTATCTCAGTGGGGCTCCTGGGTGATGCATTGGCATCTATACTTTGGAGTTGAATTTTTTCAAGATAAACAGAACTTTGGGTAACTTTGGTAAGGTTCTGAAAAATTTTACATATTCAAATGCAGGCTACTAACTATTTAACACTAAATTTGCCTTTAAGTTGTACCGACCTCTCAAGATACGTGTAGCTCTGACTGCAGTGGAAACTTGGACCCAACGCGATAAAATAATGGTTGATGAAGATTCAGACAAGAGTTTACAAAACTTTATGAAATACAGAAATTCAGATTTGGTCAAAAAATACCCACATGACAATGCACAGCTGCTGACGTGAGTATGATGAAAACATGGAAGTAATAAACAAACACTCTACATAAAAATCTTTGAGTTACTAATGACAAATACAGTATGTGTTAAAGGATTTGGTGCAGGAATGAAATTTGTACAATGTCTCGTTAATATGTAGTTTGAGTTCCAGCAAGAGTTGCCTAGGTTTTAGTGCTCTCAGATTTTCAAGACACCAGTGACCAACATAAGTGTGTTTTAGGACAACCCCCTAAGAGTGTCCCATGGCACTCCTCCTTTATTATGCCCAAATCTGAAGAGTGCTATATGGCACTTTTGTAGTTGCTGTGATCCAGCCATTTAAAAGTAATGTTATTGTCATTGTCAGTGGTCCATTTGTTGCAAGAGCCTGGAGACCAATCAGAGAAGATTTTAAACACTATTCACGCTTGTCACCTAGCAACTGTTCCATACAAATTTAGCATGAAAATTTGTTCTGGTGTTCATAATAGTGGAACCTGTGGCTTAAGATGCAAGTGGAAATTGAAAGCATCAGAAAAAATTGCTGATAGGGATGATGAGAGTGACTTTTCTGTTTCTTCTGTTAATACAGGAGACCTTTCAGAATTGGAATTCTCCACTTGATGCTATCTTTTTTGGCTCTTTCTCTAGAGAGAGATTAAAAAGACTCAAAAAGAATGAACCTTGATAGACCATAGGAAAGTTTTATAGGGTTTCAGGTCTGAATGTGGTACTGATGCGCTTTTGTCAAAAAAAACCACATATTTACATAGTAGGGTGTACTATCTAGAAGATTTCTTCCAATAAGAGGAAATTGAGAAGACAGGTATTTTTGATAATATTATAATTGTGCTTTTGCTTGCAGGAGGATAAATTTTCAAGGTTCAACTGTTGGAAAGGCTTCAGTTTTGGCCATGTGTGGTGAAAGATCTGGTGGTGTAGTACAGGTACATGTCATTAAAATTAATCTGATTTTTACATAAATTATTTGCCCAAATAAGAAGGATTATAAGGTATCTTCTATCTTTGGGTGGTCAGTCAGGTGGTCATTAATTCCTTCTAATGTTTGCAAGTTATGTCATTATTTATAAATTTGCATAAATTATAAAAGGTTGAATTAATTAATTACTATTATTATCACTTTGGAGGGCATTGGGAAAACAAAAACTGATGAAAAAATGACAACATAAAAATCTGAACAATCACACAAGTGCAAGCATTTTAGCCTACAAAATGCACCACAATACCCAACAAAGTAATGGGGTAAGCTTTTCAAACATTTTTGTCTTGCTTTATGTTATGTGTTAACCAGATAGTTTCTTTGTTGTTTTGTTTTTTTGTAATAAGGATCATTCTGACAGCGCTGCAGCTACAGCAGCAACCTTAGCTCATGAAATGGGTCACAACTTTGGATTTATTCATGATCAGGACGGTAAGTGTATTGACAAAAATCTTGGAGTCCTGATATACTTTGTGGTACACTACACATTGCAACCAAAGCAATGTGAGATAAAAATGTGAATTTTTCACCTTTGCTATTCCCTATTACAGAAGTTTAATTTTATATAATTACTAAAGTAGCTTTCAGTACTTTATTGCTATATATTTTTTTAATTACCCAAAAATAAAACCCAAGACCTGGAATTATTATGAGGCATAACTGATTGTTCAAAAATCGTAATTGTTTGTTACCAGGGATTTAAAGTTGTTAATTTACGTACATATGTTGTCTTTCCTATTCAGTTCCAGGTTGTAAATGTGAATCACCAGCTAATCAAGGATGCATCATGTCTTCTGTAGCAAAGTATGTCTTTCCTGAATTTTTTTCATTTAGGGACTGAGACAGAGTCAGAAGTATGTCGTTAGGATGTTGTTGTTAACCCCTTTTGACAAAACATTTTGGGGTTTATCTTCCATACATGCTAGTGCAATTGTGTGTACTTCATAGGGGACTTAACAAAAGTCCCATACAAACTCTGTAGTGATGTATTCCCTTTGGTAATTGTTTTTAGTTATGGACACCTCATCTTCTTTAGAGTAAATGTATCTGTTCATCTCCTTTTATTATGAGATGCAATATTGAAGGGCACTACCCTTGAACCTTTTAGTAGAATGAGTGCTTACCTAAATGCTGTGGAAGGGGAAGGAAAATTAGTTAGGCAAACTAAGCCCAGGGTATTGCCCTGCAAATCTTTTGTGGGCCCCCCACATCCCATTTTGGAAACTACTCTAACCTTGCCTTAAGAAAAGTTAGCCTCAGGCATTTATCAGTCATAACATAAGGGAAAGAAAGAGAACTGTTTGTCTCATGATTGAACTCCCAGCGAAGACAGGTGGTAGCATGGTGTATACTAAAACAAGTTTTCATTTAACACAGGAACACACCCTCAACAGACTGGTCATCATGCAGCAAAGATTCATTTGACACATACCTGAAGCGGGGCCTGGATGCCTGTTTGTTTAACACTCCATCAAACGTAAGCTTATTTTGATAACAGCTTCTGAGATTAAAATGGACAACTATGGCACTAACTTGTTTAGAGAGGTTTCCTTGGGATTAGTGACATTTTCAGTCACTCAAGAAACAAATCAAAAAATTTATGAAAGGTGTCTTTGACCAAATCTCTCTTAGCTTCTTAAACTCAATAGGTACACCTGTTCTCTCTGTAAATGTGTTACCTTGTTGTTAGAGTGGGTCAGATCAGTTCCTTGCAATTATTTTTAAACAAGTAGATTCTGAATCACCTGTGGTATTTTTTGGCACTTGTAGTTGTTTGGAGATGCATTGTGTGGCAATGGCTTCAAAGAGGAGGGTGAAGAATGTGACTGTGGCACCATAGAGGTACAGTACAGCATACAAACAATTTGGAAGCAAAATTGCTGTTTCCATATATTTGTGTGGTGTAGTTTTAGGGGTAATGGTAGGCCTAAAAAAAGGTGGTAGCCAATGGCAGCAACTGACATTTGGTTATCTGAACAGAACTTATCATCAATGTTGAGTGAATAAGAGTTTTTTGTTAGTGGAATGTAATGCACCTGGATGTTGAAAACTGATCAGTCAAGTTTGGTGTACAGACTGTAGTGCTATTGGCTGTTTTTTTGTTGTTTTTTTTAAGAACAGTTCATGAGCTGCAGTAGGCCAGTTTTGATGTGTTGATTACAAGGCCATTCTGTTCAATTTGATAAAATCTGCCAATCAGTTTTCACAAAAAGTCAATAAGCAAGTAACTCCTTTCCTGACCAAAGGTAAACAAAACTTATGGATAGTGTCACCACTATAATGCCTTTGTCATAGTGCTACTGGTTGGAAAGATCCCCAAGATGAAATTTCTATTGTATTGTACCTCTAGCCAGTAGGATCTTAGGAGGCTTGGAAAGCACTACCACTAGAGGTACAGCCTGCATATCTAGTCCTTACCTGACTTTGATGATTACTGAAGGTCTGGGTTTTGAAACATCAGTTGCATATGGGCTCAAACCACCCATTTTTTACCCAAATAATTATTTAAACATAGTTGAATTCAATGTATGCCACATGGTTAGTGGTAGCTTTGTCTTCTTGTAGCTTAACAAGTCCTAGTGAAACTTTGTTGAAGGTAACTTAGCTTTCTGATATTATGGCAGAGGATCTGTTGATGTCAAGATGGGTTGCTTGAATCTAATGTTACTTCTGCTTAAGTTCTTTTTGTTGAAGTCTGGTGGAAATTTCCTTTTGTGCCACAGACACCTTGTAGAGCAAAAGTGATTTTTTTTTTATCAACATGTGCACCTCATGTAGTTAATATAGTTTTAAGGTAGTTCATGTCAATTTTTAATGGAAGTTTATGATTATGTTATGTGTTAGGAGTGTGAAAAGTATGGTGATCATTGTTGTAATGCCACAACCTGCAAGCTTCATCCTGCCTCTGAATGTGATTCTGGCCCATGTTGTGACAAATGTAAAGTAAGTTTAAATTAACACATAGGGAATTCTTTTGCTTATAATTAAATTGCATCAACCACCACCTAGGGAAATCCCTTGACTTGCCATTAAAATGGTAAGAAGCAGACTAAATGATACTGGGAAGTTTTTGTCGATTCACAGGCAATCTATTTTTACAATGCAATGTGAATTGAATTGATTTTTTTCCTATGATCCATATAATCCTTAAGGTTGGTGTTGAATTTTTTCTCAAAATTTATTCATTGATTTGACAAAATATTCTCCCTTTTGATTTCCTTGTAGCATAAACCTCAAGGTTTTCTCTGTCGCGACAAGATCAATGAATGTGATTTACCAGAAGTTTGTACTGGAAAATCAGGATTGGTAAGTGAATCAATAGCTTTGCATTTCCTTTTTTTGAACCATGGGTGGTACAGTTTATCATATTCCAGTGTGAGCCTATGGCAGTTTTAAAAGCAGGTTGATTGTGAAAAGTATTGTCATAAGTAAAGATTGGTCAATTAAAACTGAAATCTAATCAGCAAGGTACTTTCCACTCAGCATAATGTAGTTCTTTATCCATGAAAAATTGCCTTGTTTACATCCAGTGTATTTCAGGGCAAGAACCTTATTGCTCTGGCAATAATGATTATTGCTATTGGAACACCCAGCTTGCAGCTGAATAATGCCAGCCTGGCACAATATTCCTGATGAATAAAATGAATGAATTAGAACACTTCCTTTCTTTGAACTCAATATTTTAGGTTGAGAATAAGCAGGTCTTTGATAAATTTATTTATTTTGTATGTCATCAATGGCACTAACAGCCTCTTTCAGTTCTACCTGTAGGGTAGATTTGTAAGCTATAGGACCCAAAATGTACCATGTTTCGACTTGTCTTTCAGTGTCCCAGCAATAAATACGTGCAGGATGGTGCAACTTGTGCCAATGGCGAGGTGAGAAAATATGATGCCACTTCTCCATTATCGTGAATTCAACTTGCTGTTGTTCAAGATATTCATGTCTTCATCAATTGATATGCTGTTTTGCTCTTTTAAGGGATACTGCTTCAAAGGCAAATGCCCCTTACACGACACACAGTGCAAAGACTTTTGGGGAAAAGGTACTTTTTATCTTATTAAGAATCTTTGCTTGAAGCTGTTTTATGTTCCAACTCTTTCGTCGCTGTGCGTATCTAGTGAAACAAACTTTCTGCTCAGAATAAGAAAGATGGTAAATCTTGAGCTCTGTTATGGGACACAAACATTTTCATTATTTGTCGTGGCCGTCAACTCTTTTCAACCTAACATCACCTAATTGACCATTATCTTTATTCTCATGACCTTAATGTGTGATTTAGGGGTGATATTGTTAGGAGAAATTAGATGCTAGTCACTCTTAGGGGTCAAAGGGTTTTTTCATATCGAATAAGGGATTTGCACAGAGAACTCCGTGATGAGCAAGGCCATTTCTAGGTTCTTATGTCACTTGCTTTCTGCAAGTTGCTTGAATCGGCAATGATGCGAGTATCTTGGACGAAGCTTTCATCTTTTCTAACAAAACAGCGGGATGATTAAATAAAAAAAGAAAAACAGAAACATTTGAAGGTTGAAAAATACAGCCTAACCTGACTTGTGATCAGATGTGTTTTGTAATGTCTTTTAATGCAAAAATAGGTGGCTTAGCAGTTTCACGTCCAAATATGAAAAAAACGAAAATTGTTGTTTCATCACCCCCGCAACACCCCCCCTCCCCCCACCTTCCTAGAAAAAAAAGGAAATGAAATGGAATTGCCATAATGCACCGCTAATAATACATTTTATCCATTCAGATGCACTTTCCGGCCCAGACGGTTGTTATAACTGGAATAAGCAAGGAAATTACAGAGGGCATTGTGGCTTTCAGGGTAGCAACGTGTATAAGAAGTGTGATGAAAAGTAAGCATTATTCATAATTATATGTTCGCAAAGCGTGCTAATTCTGAGAGTAACTCCAAGTGCATCTAAAGAAATTCCTGCTGTTGGCTTTTCTACCCCAATAAATTTTCTAAGATTGATCGAGACACTGGATCTGCATAACTAGCTAAAAAGATTACCTACCAGAAACCTTCTATAACTGTGAACGATTTTTTTTATCCTTTTTTTTATCAAATTAATTGTTTCTTTTTTGTAGGGACAAGCTCTGTGGCATGCTTCAATGCACAAACGTAGAAGATAAGACTCACCCAATAATCGGACACCCCAAAGGCTCTTATGGACACACCTCTGGCGAAACACTGTGCAAGTTAGTACTATACTGTTGAGAGAAATTAAAGTGCTTTTTCCGTTCAAGAATTGACCCTTCACACCTTAACATTAGTATGCATACTCTTCTTACTGATCTTTGTCCATTTATTATGTTACTGGCGAAGAGAAATTGTCCAATAGTCAAGAGCTGCTAAATTTGGTGATCATTTCCTTTATTCTTACGACTGCAATATTTGATTCAGGTTGATCTTTAAGAAGAAATTAGATGGTAGTCACTCAAACCATACTCACCCGTTGACCTTTTATAAAGTTAGACCACTTTAAGCGTATAGATCATTTTAACCATCTCGATTGCTTGGATCTAGGTAAACTAGTTGGACCAATGTAACCCTTTGGGCCAATTCAAGCTGTTTGATCATTTGATCCAGCAAGATCAATTCATTGGTTAAAGTGTTAAGGAATGGAGCGTTTTCAACCCTCCGCACCTCGCGATAGCATAGTACGTCCACGTTGTAGGACTCAACATGGAACCCGTCCCCATCCCTCCTCCCAAATAGTTTCCTTGCTTCTACTATCCTTTTAGTTTTTTGTCCAAGAGGAGCTGAAAGATATACTTACCTCCTATTTATTGAATTTGTAGAAGTGCCTCCGTTAGTCTTGGCTCAGACATTCCCGATCCTGGTGAAACTTTGGAAGGGACAAAATGTGGAAAGAATATGGTATCTCTTAATTACGTTTCTGGTTTGTTACCGAAAATATTTTAACCCATAATATTTTAAGGTCATCTATCGCTGCGACAGGCTTATTAGATCGTGTAGCTCGTCACGGTTTTCAGTCAATGCGCTTAAAGATGAAGAGTAAATCGTAGAAAGCACAATCCATTGAATTATATTGCCTAGTTTGTATCTTAAGTAAAGAAAAGAGCATGAGGTTTTTACGCCTTAGTGACCGGGTGACTGGTATTACTGTTCTTCGCTATTGATCAGCTCCTTGGAACACTTTTCCAATGCGTGTCCTCAAACCAAATCCAAACTAATGACAACGACAATCACAGGTGTCCGAAAATTGGGGAGATGACTTGTGATTAAGAGCTATGATTAAGATTAGTTGAGCGGTTTACGTGCATTTTCTTGACCAATCTCACAGCGTAGTGAAGCAAAAGCGACGAAATTCCGTGTTATTTTAATACTGGATTGAAACTGCTCTATATTTCTTCATTATGCTTCACCTAGTCGCCCAAGCATCCATGGAGGGAATGGAATAAATTATTTATTCACTTAACAATTACTCCACGAGCGTGTGTTGGATATGAGATGAAAGATATCCAACGAAGCGCGTAGGACATAATCAACTTCAAATCATCATAATCATAGAGTATAATCGTCTTAAATCCAACAAGTGCGAGTGGAATAATTGTTTTATTAAAAACGCCCCAATATATAGATAAATTTATTCAACTTTAGTTTTAAGCACTAAGGGAATGTTACAATGTACAAAAACACTTCCGGTTTAACACATCTTCATGTGCGTGCAAGGTTTAATGGCTCATAACCCATAATTGCTAAGCCAATGAAAACTCTTGAATTGCATGATCCAGTGATCTAGTTTTCAATTTTAGGTGATATTCATATAGGTCACGTGGACAAGATGTACGGAGGTCAAGAGGGATTACTGAGTAACTTGGGAACGAATATAAAGTGATTTTATGCGTCATATATTCCACATATTACTAACACAAAAACACATCCTTTGTATTTTTTACTTAGCTTTGCATTCAGCGGAAATGTATCAGCATAGACGTGTTTAATGCCAATAACAAACCATGTCCAAACAACTGCTCAGGTGAAAACGGGGTAAGTGATTCTGTGTTAGTTGTAGCAAGTGTCCTTGTGCTCATGTTGATGTTATTTCCCAAGACTGGTCGTTGTGTAGTGTTAACGAGCAAGACACATTCGTCACAGTTCCTCCACCCAAGAGTATACGTGAATATCGGCAAACTTTTATGGAAACGTAGAGAAGTGATGAGGTTAACTCTGCGATGGACTGGTATTTCCTTTACAAGGGGAGGGAGGGTTAGGAGTAGTTGTGATAATCCTGTTCGCTTAATGCTACTTAAGCTTGAGTAAGCCCCGTAAGTGGAGCCTTCTGAACGTAAGCTGATCTTGCCTTACGTTTCATCCACACTTAGGAGTCAAAAGGCGCCCCCCCCCCCCTCTCGTGCACACTCCCCGCCTTTTTCGGGTGAGTGTTGTGACTACTTCCTAACTACACCCTCTATCTTATTCAAACCCTTCAGATTTGTAACAACGATGCAGAGTGTTTCTGTCATATTTGTTGGACAGGAGCAGATTGTAGTGTTCCACAGAAGTGTGGAACAGAAGGTTAGTGGGTCTAAATGTATAACATGGTATCGCCTTGCGAGCTCGGTCAGAAGTTAGAATAGCGATACATTAAAGAGGTATGTGCGGTACGAGTTCCTAGAAAGGTTCTGAGATGTTATGTACGCTACAGTAATCTTAGAAACATAGGTTTTGTCGAGGGTGCTGTGTGGTTCATCTTACTGTCGTGGTGGATGGAAGACCGCATGGAGGACCTCGTGTTGAAAGAGTATATGACGTTTCATTTCCAAGACTTGTTGATTACATGTCTCCAGAGGACCTCAACAACCACTTGCAAGATTTTTAAGATGTACAGGACCAGATGAAAGTTCTAAATTTCGTCTGTTGGAAGCAATAAGTAAGATGCGACAGCTTGTGACCATCACGTGTTACTCAACATATTTGGATGCTTCAGCCTTTAATACTGGGTTGTTGACTGGATTCTCACCAGGGTGGGGTTTAACACCAGAATCACTAGCTTTTTTAGTTCCACATAGGGGGTCGCGTTTATCTGAGGACCCCCTTTGGTTACGCCCTTGCACTATTTTCCGCTATCGACCACATTTCGTATTATCGCGATTTTTTTGTGCATTACACAATACTTCTTCTTAAAATCAATCAGTGCTTTCATGAATTAAACTTTCTCTTCGCTGACTAAAAATTTTAAAGTCGTTCATAAAATTTAAATGTTCGAACGTTGTAAAGTAATACGCTTGAATTGAAAATAGTGCTCTTTGCAGTGCTACATTGTACAATATTTCTTTTTAAATAACCTGAAATAAATTTTCATAAAATTTAACTTTAAATTTAACTTACATTAACAGTAATGAGAGGTCATATTAAAATGATTTATTTTAATTCTTCTTTAACGCGTACAGAAAGATGAAGGTTTGCCGTGCGTATAAAAATATCACATCGTGCTTGCCATTACTTACTCACGTATAGTATGATGATAAAAGATTAATGCCAAATTTAATATCACCAATACGACCTCATTGACATAAACTGCGACTGAGCTTCTTAGATATGAGACGTCGTAAGCTAATTGGTGTATCTAAACCATATTCGCGACTAAATGGTTACTTCTAACTGTAAGATTTATCAAGGTTTGATATTTGTTTTTTGTAATAACCAGACTTAGATACATGACACAGCTCACATAACAACGGTGAAAATAATACTTCTTTTTGATTGGTTCGTAAACGTGTGTCGTGATTGGTCCTGAGTAAACTGTTCTTTTACGAAACGAACTTGAACTTAGTAAGATCCTCATGTAAATACACTTAATGTTAGAGACGCATCTAAAATAACTGTTTTGTAGTGTTATCAAGAATGAATAGTTGTTGGTGGATATTCCACACTCATCCACACTCTTGCTAGTTTATTAAACCCTTCCTTACGCACAGGTAATGGTACAGAGTACACAATAAGCACCCCAACTAATTTCACAGGTGTGCCAGGTAAGACCTTTATTTCCTCTGTCCTCACTGTTTAACGCTACTCATATATATATATACATATATGCACTGTTAATCTGTTATACGCTAATAACCTCTTAAGCCCTAATACTATTCTAAAGCTCTAACCTTGCTGTAACTTTAACGCCTAATTATACTGAAAACGTAGAATTATACGTAGAAGTACCAGACTTTAGACTGTTTTTGCCGATGAGAGACTGGCCATTAGTGAATCGGGGATACGAAGATGCGCCTGGTATGACGGGAAGAAAAGGGAAACTTTTCTTCCGATGATAACCTGCACGCTTCGAATCAGTAAAATCCATTCTCTGGTAGCCTTGATAACTCAGAGATCACTGGTACATAGTTAAGATATCGCTCATAAATGTGACTTACTCTCACATTACATTCGGGGTAATGGGCATTTAACTCATATTCAAATCGCTTTTTGTTTCATATTCCGGATTCGTTGCGGATCCCTCAAAGGGAAAGAATCTTAGCAAATACTCTTCACTCCTAACGTTTCATTGCAAGTTAGAATTGTCGCCTATGCCCACATTTTAACCTCTACCTTTCCAGTTCATAAAGCAAGAATTTGGGTGAATTTGAGATTAATTTTGTTTCCTAATCTGGTGAAAAACTTTCCGTCGTTTCATATGAGAGTCGATCACTTACCGAAGCTCTGCTGGGCGTTAATGCTTCTAACCATGATAAAAGAGTAAAAAGTAAACATGCCAACATTATCCTCTACTAATGTCTTATCAAGTGGCACAGAACATGTCGAGCAACACACGGAGATTCACACGAACATGGCATTTTATTTTTTTTTTAGTTCATTGATGATCAATGGCTAAACATCGCGTCTTTAACATATACGAGTCATTATACTCGTCTAAAGGAAACCACACCATTAACTTATTGAGCGAAATAGTGATTATTAATCAATTTTAATAAGAAAATGATAGTAATAAATGATTAATAATAACTAAGTCTTTTTGTCACGTGGACGGTTTTCATTTCTGTTAATCCTGAAAAACTCATCAAACGAAGCAAAAACACTAACAACGAATAACAATTGAAGTTGTTGAATAAGGAATTGGAAGAACTTCCAGGTCTTAGTCATCACTTAGCCAGTGGGTGTTCTTGGTTGTTTAACAACTTCAATCCTTTAGATGTCTATAAATGCTTCCAAAAACATAACAACTTTGATGTTGTATCGGTATTTGACCAAAAAGCTGCAGTTGTACTGAAAGCAGCCCAGTAGAACGTAAGACGAAACCATAGTTACCACATCGGCCGAACAGAACAAAGGTGAATTACTGAAGAGATCTGTGAGTACACTGAAACGTACCCAAGCGTTGATGTTAAGTTTCCCGTCTTATTGGTTTCAGACCAAACTTATGCAATAGCTATCCCACATAGCTTTCAGTACTTGATTTGTAATTTATTTGAGAGGGAGCAGTGTCACCTCTTAAGGAGTGGATTGAGGCAGTGGATGCTCTAAGAAATAACCATGAGAAAGAAAAAACTAAAAACACTTCGGTTTGCACAAACTTTTGTACGAAATTTCACGTAAGCATGCGTAAAAATCAGCTTGCTTGTCCGAACTTCATGAAGTAAGATTATGGCAAGAATCTGTTTCTAAAAGAAAAATGTATGCAAAGAATGCGCTAAGTAAACTGGACAACGTGGTTCAATATTGCTAGCAGTAACTTAGCCTTCACGTAGTCGACTTAAGTTGTTTCAAATATTAACAATATAATCTTTAAATTTTTATCGTGATAATGAGAGAGTTACAAGATAGGTTTTGACAAGAATAATGAGATTGACCTTTCAAGTTCTTACCTTTATTGGCAAGAGGAAATATCTTCAAAACTGTATGGAGAATTTAATCTTGATGCTGGCATCGTTCTGTCAACAGGGACTGCAGAACCTCAGGCAAAGCGAAGCAAGTTGGCTGGGATTTTGATTTTGGTGTTTTTTATAATTTTCCTGATCGTTGGTGCTGTTTTTGCTTTTATTTACCGGAAGCAATTGAAAGAGAAATGGCAAACATTCAAGCAAAAGGCCCCTGTCAATAAAAGGTAAAGAAACTAAGTGTGGGTGTTTATATGTGTGCCTTCATGGGTTTCCACCTTAGTTTTTTTTTCTTGACTTTATTTGTCTACTTTTATCTGTGTGAACATTTTTTTTCTGTCTGTCTTTTCGGTTGGTCTTTGTGTCCTTTTCGTAGTATCTGTCTCTTTGCCTATTTGCATCTTTCTGTCGGTCAGTCTGTCTCTGCCTGATTCTTTGTTTCTCTCTGTCTGTTGTAATGTAGCTGTTTCTATATCTGTCTGTCTGTCTGTCTGTCTGTCTGTCTGTCTGTTTTTTTGTTTGTTTGACGGACTGACGTACTGATTGTGTGTTTCGCGCTCACAGTGTTGGGGTTGTTTATTTGAAAATAGCTACCTCTCTTGTTGAGTACAGAGGCTACCTTTTGTAGGAACCTTTATCCTTGCTAGAATGAAGGCTTATTTTGATCTCATTGACTGGCAGATTTTATTTATATTTATCTGTATTTCATCTCGTTTCCTAGTTATCAAGGTCTGTCCCGGGCTTCTCCTAAACAAACCAGGGCTCGTAATGGAGCAGAAGCTACAGCAACGACAAATTCTGAGCCCTTAAAGCCGAGACCCGATATATCGGGGCCTACGCTCACAAGTACCACCCGTAAGGAGCCTGTAAATGTAACAACTAATCCGTTAGGGACAAGTAAATTCACAGCTGCATCCACTAAACAAGAACAACCGGCCTCTCAGCCACCAGTGGTCTTTAAGCCTACCCCACCGAAACCGGATAAACCTGAACCACCTGTTGTAGAAAAGGAGAAGCGTCCTCCCAACCTTCCACCTGTCAAACTTCGAAATCGTGATTGGCCACCCAAAGGTGACAAGACAGCATCATTAAATCGCGCCTCCAGTCCTCCGTCAGTAACAGAACCAACTAGACCGGTAAAACCTGTTAAACCTCCGAGACCAGAAAGTCACGCGGGTGTTTTAGATAAACCATCTGTCCCTCCCCACCCTGGCGTAAAGGCTTCGAAAGAATGGCCCCCTCGCGATAAGAAAAACGATACACATTCAAACCCAGCTCAGGGATCTAGAGCCCTTACGAGTCAACCGATAGTTCCACTAAGGCCGGTTCCGAAAGCTGTAAAAGGACCTTCAGAAGAAAGACCATCTTCCATTCCACTGAAACCGTCTGATATTAAAAAGGGCCTCGGAACCGGAAACGATAGGCCTCTTTCAGCTTCAAATGTTGCAAGCCCTAAAAAGGTTCCTCTTAAGCCCCCTGGACCCATTCCAAAGCGTCCTGGATCAAAACCGACGTGAACGACGGGATATCGCCATTATATGGTGTACATAGAGTTAGAATGTCCTGAAGTAAGAAATGCCCATAACATAGACAGCTATTGAATTCGTATAATAATTCGCCAATAAGATATGATGAACGAGAAAGTTTTAAATTAATCACCCATCGTAAATCGAGCTGCTTTCATTATAAAGTAAATTAATGATACAACATGCTAATTTAAGTAAGGTAAACTAACATACATTTAAACAATTTAACTAAGTCGATGTTTCAAATGATGTTACAAGGTGCGATAATCCTTTTATCACCAGGCAATATGTCACTTTCTTTAATGAAAAGACTGGGTGGTTAAACTTTTCCATCCAAGACAAGGAATTTGTTTTTATAATTAGTGTTTTTATTAAGCATTATTATACATAAATGAACGTTAAATCGTTGGTATGTAAGAATCAGGCCAATCAATCGCTTATTGATTAGCCAGACTCTCACATTGTGTGACAAACGATTAAACGTTAATTTATTCATAATACCACGTTGAACAACAGCATTTTCTATAACACTATTACACGTGTTCTTTTGCCACATTTTTTTCGCTGGGTTGGTGGGTACTTAAACACCTAAACAAGAAGGATGAAAAAAAAAATGCAAGTATTAAGGAATTTTCTTTAATTGGTAATTCAGTTGTGTATATGTTGGTGTGAATGTTCTTGTTACCTCTGACACAACTTGTTAAACCTTCTTAATATGGTCATCTCTTCGCACATGGCTCAAAATTCAGCCCTTTATCTTAACCAGAAAAGATGAAAAGTTAGTTTCGAACATGAACAACGTAGTTAAATCCATTAAGTTATAGAATTGTCATGTTTTGTTGTGCTGTTCAAGACTTAACTTTTTAGGACGAAACTTAATTTGAAATGCCAAATTTTCTAGCTCGATCATCCTTAGTTTGGGAGACTTCTAGTGGAAACTCAGATTAGGATATGATTCTTTTTTTGATGCCTTTTCGGAAAGCGCCATTTTGTGGTGTTTGTCTGCATATGGTCAGATAGTACATTTTACACTGTCAAATAACATTCTTAGTAGCCACCGGATGAAGTAATTGTCCTAAATCCTAGAAACCCACAAATCTTTGGACGAAATGGGGCGGCCAGACCAATCTGTTATAAAATTATTTGGCTTATTTTGTAGTCAGAGAGTGGATAGAATTCAGAAATTGACAAATTGGGCTCGACAATCCTGACAGTCGCAGTCTCAATTCCGATTGGTTACGAGCCCGCAGCTGAAGCACTGTTTTCGTGACCTTATTCCTACAGACAGATTTTCTGCTGTACTATTAGGATCATAGTGGAAGACAACAGTTTCGAAGCAGCTAATGTATCAATATTGTTGGATTCGCTTTACAGCGAGAATTGTCAAAAGTAGGTTTGTGTATATCACTGGCTTGGCTGAAGCTGAAAGCCGGGGCGGTTGACGACAACTAAAGGCTTGATTATTCATGGAATTATGCTAAAACTTATTAAGAACAGAATACTTTCTATGAATTCACTGGTCTGGTCAATCATTTCCAGCTGATTGTAAACGCTCACATTAATCTCCAAACGTTTTATTTACGGTTTTCAACAACACTGTTACACGTATGTTCTCTGCATTAAAGTGTGAAGTTTAAAATATATTTCTTCACTTAAATTTTGGAAAAATTTTACTGTTTACTTTTTCTTCATTTTACTGTTCGTCAATTTTATATTACAGTTTTGAACACATCACTTTTTTTTAAATTTAGGCCCATTTAAAAATTACTTTCTCACATGGTTGGCTGAATCGGGAAACAGTTATTTCAAAATAATTATATCAAAGTAAATGCATACATTTTTTTCATTTTAATCAGTTTTTATTCATTGTTTCAGTTTTAAATCATACACGAGAACGCGAGCTTAATTTAGTTAAGGGGGTCAAAGAAAATACCCGTATCTGAAAATTATCAAAAAAAATTTGTAATCCAAAGTTTAGTTGATTAAAATTGGAAAATTAAAAATATTAAATGTTTTTATTACTGTATCCTGGCTTTATTTCATATCAATGTCAGTATCTAAACATCTGCACACCTACCCCTCCCCTAACCCAACATCTGTCAACTGATTACAACTTAGGGTTAATGTTGGGTTAATGGGGGAGGGGTAGGTGTTCAGTTGCTCCGATACTGACATTAATTCGTTATTGAGCGTGTGTTGATAATCTTGCAGTAAAATCTCAGCGTAGCGAGGATCATGGGAGATTTAAATACGGGAATACTATGATCCCATGGCATGATTGTCCGCGTGGTAAGCCGGGAAGGGACTCGTTAAGGTTCACACTGATTGACGTTTGCACAACTAGAGGGAAAGGAAACAGAGTCAAGGGAAGATTTTTCTGACAGTCGTCTGCAGCTCAGCTCTGACTAACTATCCCGTCAGTTGTGTTTTACTTCAAATACCGATCCTTTTCGTCGCGTAAATGCAAGCTCGCCTATACACAAGTTAGAACAGCGGTATAAGCCAATTTCACGCAAAGGGCTCGGAAGTTCGAAAAAACCTCCCCCCCTCTCTTTCCTTTAGAGTGTCCAAAATGACCCAAGATTGCGTTGGTTTTTGTTTACTTTGTTATATAACTGGTCCAGAAAACTCGCGCCAATTCATGAACCAATCAGATTTAAAACTGTAAAACCGATCGCGACTTGCTCCCGTACTTTGGTCAGTTTGTTTGTTTTAACTTGGAGTTCTTACTGGTTCCTCATCACATTTTTCTTGCTTTGATTGGCTGTTGTAATTGCTTGCAATCGAAAGGCGCTCCAACGCTCTCTTACACTGATATTGCAATGGTCAATGTGACATGTAAACAAAAGTATAGAATAACGTCTTGGATACTTTGAGCACGATTGCAATATTTTGTGATATTCTCCTTGTTATCGTGTTAGTGTGAGGTTCCATTATACTCTTGTATCTATCCTTGAACCCGTCTGAAAATTGTGTTCTATAACTAATGATTGTAGTGTTGCCCTTGTCTATCTTAGAATTACGAATAACGGCTTGCTTGTTGACAATTTTGTTTGAAAATGATGTCAGATTTGTTTGAGAAACAGTGAGAGATAATTAATTTGCTTTTAGTCATTATCATGGAAAGTTTTGTTAATTCGTCATATTTTAGTGCAAATAATTTATTTACTTTTAAAATTATGTCTGAGCTATAAGCATATAACTTAAAGGTAGGGGTTCTTAAAATGAATCATTGACAATGTTCTTTAAAATAGATTAAGTCTAAAGACAGACTCCTGAGGAACCTCACATAATATGTCTTTAGTTTTTGATTACATCTTTCTATAGTGGACACACAGCTCTCTGTTATGAGCAGTTAAAATATCCCACATGCAATGACTAGAGTTTGAAATTAAACAGGATTATCTTTGCCTCGCCGCAAGGCCTATAAATCGTTAATAACTTAGTTCTTTCATTGTTTTGCTGAAAGTACACCTAATTACATCCCGCGGCCTAATTTTGTTATTAACAATTGAGTTGATGATGTAAATTGACCACCGTTTAGTCTGTAAAGCTGACGTTTCAAGCGTTAGCCCTTCATCAGAGGTTTACCGTTCTGAAGAAGAACTAACGCTCGAGACGTCAGCTCTAGTAACTCTTTACGATAGCCAATTTACATTATCAACTCAGTTGATTAAATCAAATTATCTTATAATAACCACCACTGACGCAGCACCACAATGAGAAACTTACCCCCTTTACCTTAGACCAAGACAGACTCGATGTGTGCTACGCTGCCTACTATTGTTTTAAGATACCTCTCAACAAAGAATGCAACAAGTAACAAAGTCACCTCTATAAATAACTTTTGATGTTGGCTGATCTCGACTCGTTTTATTTTTGTGTTACCCAATGATTTCAAGTTGTCGTGATACAGGGCACGGAAAATTAGTCAAACGCAATTTTCGGCCGATTTTAAGTTCAAAATTAGCTGTGATCGTGAAACCTCCAAAGATTAGAGTAGCGGTTCTCTCTTTATAAAAAGTAAAGATTTATTCAAAATAGCTACCGAAGTAACTTGAGCAATATTTTTAACTTCCACAAAATGTTTCGTAAGAGAGAGGTCCTCATAAACTACCTAACAAAAAAAGTTAACTAAAAACCAACAAAGCATGTACTTTGGGGTACCTAATTCTTGACTACAGTACATTCGTCAGTATGAACTAGGGGCAACTTATTCCTTCATTCCCATGATCAGAAAGACCACGTGCTCTCTCACTCTTAGCCCTTCTGCAGAGGTCGCGCCAATTTACATTATCGACTCATTTTATAGACAAAATTATTTTATTTCTGGTGAGTTGCTCCCACAACGAGGGCTTGTGATGTCAAGAATATTTACACCCAAAAAGGGAATTTTTTCTCTTAGGTGTGGTGTGCAGACATTCATACACGCCCGGTCCCCGCTTAGTTAAGGGTGGAACTGGAAATACCACTCCGGATTATCGCATGTTCTTGGCCTGTTTTAGATCATAACTGAAATTGAAACATTATCACCTTGTCAGTATTAAGTTCTTGTTTTGCCAGGGAAATCGATGACCCGAACGTGTCGGCATCTTTTGCTGATGTGGCTTCACCTTTGGTTTGGGGGCATAAACCACAATAACATTGTCAAGTCATCTTTTTACCTTAGTCACGTATCCTCTTCATAACGGAAATCAAGAATGTAAATATTACGTCTTTTACAAAATTGAACTGGGGTTATGATGCTTACGGAAGCCAATATTTTCGCATACAGCTTTGTGTCTGATATCATATAAGTTACGACATTGTCTCTTCAGTTTTACCAGAGGGGTCATCATGCAACCTAAGATTATCGGGGAATTTTCCTCTTTTTAATTCTCATGTCCTTGCCATAATCCTTCTAAATCAAAACCAAGAAAATCGAGAAGTTCAAGCTGTCAAAAAAATATACGAAAGAAAAATGCAAATGACAGAAAAAAATATGGTCAAAAGAAAAGTAAAAAAAAAAAAGAAATTTTAACCTCTGATCACGTGACAGTGTTCTTTGTTTTGATTGGTGAATACTGCTGTTGAATAACTTGAACCCCTCAGCAAAGCAAAACAAAACATTTTCACTTCTACAGTATCGCTTGAGAGATGAAAGGTGGATAACTGTCTCTTTCACCCCGTTCAATTACCACTTCTGTAACGCTGTACTGTTTACCAAAGGACGGAAAGTGTCTGACAGCAAGGGATTAGAATTAAGCCTCATTTGACAGCGCGAATTAAACCTCACAACAGACCCACCCGAACTTATTGTCACATCGCCAAGCTTATGAAACAACTCGTGCGAAGGCTCCTACAACTGAACCTGTACCTTATCTCCGAGACTTGGCGAATCTCGTGGATGTTTGCATTTTATGGAACCAATTTCTCCATCGTCGCCATAGGAATGTTCTACGTTATTGATTTCCGTCGTTTATTTTGATGTGACGCATTACCACTCCTGCTTTCATCACTTTCCTTCTACAGCGCAGCGACCAAAGAATCTCCTGTTCTTAGACACGAAAAGAGAACTGTCTGGTTCTCTGTTGTGAAAGGAGTGTGGCTCTGAGGTACGGTAATGCTTCAAGGAAGTTTGATTGACGTGAACAGGCATTTTCATACCAAACTGAGAAAATCGCTCTTCTTGCCAGTGCGCCCGCCATATTAAACGACGATAAGAACGTAGTTAAGTCACCTAAACAAAACGTCCTTGTCTGACCAGTTTATGGGCTTTGAGGGATTACAGTGAAAAGCTTTTTAGTGGGCTTGGTTCACAGGTGACCTCCATAACTTGTTTCGTTCAGGTTGCATAACGACTTTAGAGACTTGAGAGTGATTAGTGCGCCTGCCAAACAAGGCGGGAATTTCAAATAAACATGGACGAAGTCGACTATGATCAGGAGCTTCCTCGTGAGCTCATCAAGTGTGTCTTAGTTGGAGATACTGGTGTTGGAAAGACACGCCTTATTTGTGCACAAGCTCTTGGAGTTGGTATCCCTGCACCCCAACAAGAAACAAAGCAACATATACATTTTCCGACGGTTTTTGCAATTGATCAGTATCATGTGTCTCAAGAAATAAGGGAGCGTGCGAACTTCCGAGTTGATGGAGTCGATGTGGCATTGAGACTGTGGGATACATTTGGTGATCATGAGTTTAACCGCAAATTTGCATATCAGAATGCTCATGTTGTATTGCTCTGTTTTGCTTTAAATTCCCCCAACAGTTTCAAGAATGTCAATGCTGTGTGGTACAGTGAAATAAAAAAGTATTGTCCCAGAACCCCTATCATTCTGGTTGGTATGCAATCTGATTGGCGTATGTATGGCAAAGAGACCACAGTGAACTCCAACAGAAGTTTGTCAAAGCGGATGCGAGAGTGTTCCCTTGTGACACCAGACATGGGTCGCCAAGTGGCAAAAGAGATTGGTGCAACTTACTATGAGACAAGTGTTGTAACAATGTGGGGCATCCATCATGTGTTTGAAAATGCAATTCGTGTGGCACTTATCAACAGGCGACAGATGAGATTCTGGTCATCTCAACTGAAAGGGATCCAGAATCCACAGCTTCAACCCCCTTACTTGCCAGAAAAACCTGATCCTCCCAAAGTCACTGTGCCACCCTCCATCTTTAAGGAAAACATCAAGGAATTACTTGATGGTGGCATGTGTGCAGATGTAGAATTTCAAGTTCGTGGTCAGACCATCAAGGCTCACAGAGCAATTCTTTGTACTGCAGCACCAACATTTGCTAAGCTTTTCTCTTTGAATGAGGAAAAACTCTTCAAAGGGCTCAGCACTAGAGAAAAACTTGTGCTTCAGGATGCTCTTGTGTTTGGAGAGCGAGGGAGTCTACCCAGGGGTTTTGTGGCACTTGATTCTTACAATGATATCTGGGACAATGAGGAACAGAGCTCCATGGTTCAAGTTACAGTTGAAAACTCTCTTACATACAGAAATTTCATGTACATTCTTGAATTTCTGTACAGTGGAAATATTCCTCTTGATGCATGCACTGAGGAACTCAAAGATGCTGCAAGAAATCTTCAACTCTGTAACCTTGTAAGTTACATTGCCAATGTAATGAACAATATGGAGTACATGAACACTGAAATTCACTCGAAAATGGTGCGAGAGATGTCTTCCAGTGCTAAAAAGCTGGTGAACTCTGAAATGTTCTCTGATATTGTGTTCCGCATTGAAGGCAGGATTGTTATGGCTCACAAGGCATTTCTGGTTGCACAGTGTGAGATGATGGCAGCAATGTTTATGACTGGACACTTCAAAGAAAGTGGGGTACAAGTGGTAAGAAATTCTAAATTCTTTTGTTGAATTACCATTTAATTTTCAATGACCTGTAGTAATGAGGGTGGGTAAACTTGTATTCAAAGACAATGGCCTAGGTTTGATTCACAAATTATGCATATTATGTGAGTTGAGCTGTTTGTTGTTTTTTGCTCCTGACCCAAAGGCTCTCCTTCAAGTTCTCAAGTTTTCTTTCCTCCACAAAATCCAACCTTTTAAAATTCTTATTCAACCTTGAAACTTAGAGTAGAAGAGACACACTTTCAATGAGGATGTGACAGCCAAAATAATTTTCATTTTGTTAGTTGTTGAATATTTTTATGGTACACTATATTTTAAGATACTTAATTCCCATGCATGTACATGAAACTTTTCCATGTAATATCAATGCTCTTTTGAATAAACTTGTGATTAGGAATGAAAAACTCACCAAGTAAGGGTTCTATTAGGGGGTTAATTTTGGCTCTACACTATGTTTTCTTGAAATGTAAACTCACATGGGGAAAATTGCCAGATCATTGTCATGAAAGGGTCAACATTATAACTTTGTCTAAAAAAAATGATCCAGAGGGATAATGAGATGGTCATCTTGATGATCTTTCCCTGTGATCAATTTCTGAGATGACTGAGTGGGTTTTAAGGGAACGAGTTTGGTGGTTAATGAAATATTCACAGCGAAAACAAAAGAAAAGTAAAGAAAAACAAGAAGATAAAATCAACAATCAGTGCCAAACCACTCAGTAATTTGCAAATTGGCACCTATTTTTGTGCCTTACAAATTCACCCAACTGCCTTGTTGATAGCCATTACTTGAATTGCTTATTGTTGTACAATTGTGCATCAAAAAAATATTAAAAGGAAGCTAAGTTTAAAGTATGGTTAACACTATTCCTAGATATCTTCAACTTTCTTAGATGAGTATACCAAACTTAAATGACATATAGAAAATTAAAACAATGATTATTTTAACAGGCGTAGGATGTATTTAGTCAGCTCCACCCAATACTTAACTCTAACTCTGTGAATAATTTATTTCTTGCAAATTTTTTTCAGTTTTAAACCCTCATGGCATTGAAAACCAACCATAAAAGTTATGTGGCTGTTGAATGTGAATTCTGAATTAAACGATTTTTTGCAGTTAAACATTACCTAGTGGCATTTAGGCTAGTTGTATATTTACATAACATTCACACATCCACTCAGCAGGTGTTTGTGAAAAATGTTTTAGTAAATGGTCACATTGAAAAGAAAGCAAGAAAGGGGAAGTGGCCAAAATGTTAGTTCAGTTGGTGGGCTTGGAATATTCATTTTGTTTTGTCTTAACAAGTATATTGCCTTCCACTAGGAACAACAATGGTGATCAGTATTTACATTACAATTAGAGCTGAAGAGTGTCTGCCTTAGCCACATTCTCTGCATTCATATGCAAATGCATTAATAAATGTGCAAGATTCATGTTATTTTTGGGAGTTAAAAGGTCTTGTTGGACAGGTTTTGCTGTTAAGCCCTTTCTTAACAAGAGGCCTGATGTCAAAAGACTTAACCCTTTAACTCCTAAGAGTGATTAGCATCTAATTTCTCCTTACAATATCAGCCTGTAATCACTCAGTCGGGTCACAAGAATAAAGGAAATGATCACCAACCAAAGAAGCTCTTGATTAAACAAGTTCTCCTTGTACTTCTATTCATGACATCAACTTTTTGTCTTAACTTTAAATTTTGTTGCATCTGGCATGCACTTTGGTGCGGGTTAGTCAAGAAAATGAAGAGTTATGTGCACACCCTCTATTTAAACAATCACTACTTTTGGACTGAGTGTAAGGGCAAGGTGGAAAGATATTTGGCCGTCAGTCATGACATTCAGAGTTTGCTATGGTCAGTCTATATGTAATGACCCAAAGTGAAATTTTTTCTTGTCTAGCCCGACCTTACTCGCTCAAGAAGGATATAGCTCTTATCTGATTGGTGTGCTCTTTTCTAGTCTTGCTTGTCCATCACATTTGGCCCCCACCTGGGTCTTTTTTATAATTTTTGTTAATAAAAGGGTATGTGAGAAGCCTTACAGGTCACATGATAAATATGTAACTGTATGTTTCTTGAATTGCATTATTTGACAGCTCTACAGTTTTTCACTGTCATGGAAAGTTATGAATGCTGGTCACTTCGAGAAGGTCAAAGGTTAAGAGTGTTGCATACTTTCTTTTCTAGGTGGAATTTAAGGACACAAACTTTGAAGCATTTTTAAGTGTCCTGGAATATCTCTACACTGGGCAGTGCCTATCTCTATCAGTGGACGATATCGTTAGTGTGTTGGCTCTGGCAAATTTCTTTTGTCTGCCCAGACTTGTGGCTCTTTGTGAGCAACACATTGTCAAAGAACTGCAGGTTGCCATAGCAACAAATGAAATGGCTGTCGCTGAGGACATTGTTGGTATGTATTAATATTTTTCTTGTTCAAAATCAAGGCAACTGAGTATCTTACTTAAAATATGGTTCAATCCATAGCTGAGAATGAAATTTGATATACATTTGAATGTATATGATGATATTTATGAGAAGAACTTGTGTAGCAAAATAAGAAAACACCTATAGTACTTTAGTTAATTACAGTCAAGTTAGTTCATGATGGTTTTATATCATCTATATTAAAACAAAGGTTAGTAACTTTAAGAGAATGTCGCAGTCAGTAATGTGTTAGCTAAAAGATAGTGACAAATTTAGGTACAAGGGGGTAGCTGGAGGAAAGGATGATGGAAATTAAATATGGAATCCTCTAGCAGACTCAACTCTTTCAGTTCCTTTTAACCCTTCTCACTCTAACATCAATGTGGTTATTCTCCATACTGTTCCCTATATTTTTCCTGTGGCAATGACAAGAGGAATTGATTTAACAAGCAAGATCTTCTTTAGGTAGCCATCTTTTCTTTTATTCTCCTGAACTTAATGCTTGATTCAGGAGTAATACTATAAGAAGAAATTACATTTTGGTAACTCTTGGGTTTCACCAGGGTTTCTGTGGTGAGGCAATTACCTTCCTCAACTGTGGAAAAAAAAAGAAAGTTTGTAGTCGTCCAATGCAATGTTAAAATTTTGTGTTTTATTTACTTATTCCGTTCAGCTATCCATGCAGTTGGATTTGCTTAATGGTGGTCTTACATTCAAGTCATTGACTATTCTCTCTAACACTACATGTAGCTATTTGCTTTCAAGTTGTTTCATGTTTAACCACAACAAAAGTGTATTATGACTAGTGACTCCACTCCAAAAAGTTAAATAGTGTTTACTTTTACTTTATGTCAACTCAAGGTTATCTTCTTGAGGCTCAAATTCACAATGCTTCACAACTAGAAGCCTGGTGTATTTACTACATTGCCACACACTACAATGCAGTCTGCCGCCATTGCCCTAAGCATGTGAAGAACCTCGACTCATCGACACTCAAGGGCATAGAAAAGAAACGGTGGCCACCAGCCTGGTACATTCTAGAGGCTGATTGGTATGAAAAAGCAACAAAGGAGCTTGAAACTGAGAAGGCAGCAGAGAAGCTACGGAAATCGCACAAGCACATTAGGCATAAGAGAAAGTGTAGCTGCTTGTGAGATCACCCTTAAAACAAGGTGGCAGTGTTTCACTGTAGTGGCAAATAAACAGACTTTAAGTAGTGTATTTTGCATCTTGATATGACAGATATATATATCTTAAAGCCTTAATATAATAAGTATTCATATAGAGCATTATTATTATCATTGTTATTATTATTATAGTCTGACATATAACTTTTGGATACAACATGTATGTATTTTTTTAATTACAGTATAATTACAATGGAATTATATTCAGTCTGCCTTACTTACGTGTCTATCAGAATATCACCCATATCAGTAGTGTCACTAGTGATACGATTTTGTGACAGAAATGCTAATATAATTGTAGTTTAATTTCAGGGGCTAAAGTAGAAGAAAAAGTGAAAAAAATTTGTGGATGTCTCTGTATATGAAGTTTAAGCTGTACACATGAAAAACAACAGAGGGTAATGAAAATTATTGTTTATTGTTCAACAAAAATCACATAATTGCAGTCACACTGAAAATTTACTGAAAATTTACTTGATTGTAAATTAAAGCAGTTGCAGGCTGGTCAAGTGGATACCAATCAATACAGTACAGTAGTAATATTAACTATCAGTGCACCAGGTGCTCCTATAGAGAAATTGATTATATTATCAACAGAGAAAAATTAGTACGTTGTGACCAGTGTTGTGAGTTATAACTGAATGACTAATATAACATGGACTATACCAAAGCATTAGAATAGCCTCCAGAGGTGTAGATATGTATCACAGTTTACCAGTACATGTATAGGAATTTTTTTTCTTAGTTTGTACCTGTGTTTAGAAAGTTATATTTACTGGAAGTACTTTTGGAAAGTTACTATCCAGTCCAGATATAACATTCTTTAAATTACCCAAAATGTTTGTGTAGGCATGCACTATCAGTGCAGAACTAAAACCCAAGTGTGTTTTTTTTGGTGTACTTTGTACTTATCAGGCGTATACTATCAATTACTTGATGATATCTTCTTGTATCATCAAGCAATGTAGCCCTTACTTGCTTGAGCTAAACTACATTGAATACTTAAATACCAAAATGCATTCCTGCAAGCACTGTTATCTTTGAAAACAAGTATGTGCAGAAAATATCCCAAGAAATAATTCCACCTTTTTTTCTTGTGAAAAGGCCTTTTTATGTTTTAGTTTCAAGGAACTACTCTCAAGTAAGGTAGTATATTTACAAATTCAGGTTGCCTTTAGCTGTTTTTTTGGAGCTGCATAGCATAGTTCCTTATGTATGTGAATGTTGTTTTGTAAGTCTTACAAGTATATTCCAACTGTGCTAAACAGTGCTAAGAATCAAAGCAAATAAGCATCGTAAAGAAAGTAGATGAAATTTAATGTTTGTTTCTCTTTTGGATGTACCAGATTTGTAGAAGTCACTTAGATAGAAGTAGCACTTTGGGTTTGTGGCTAATTTCAATCTTGATAAGTTAGGAATTGAGATGTTATGGCAAGTCTGAGAAAACTGTAGAAAGATATTGATATATTTCTTGACTGTGGCACCATTTGGTAGCATAGCAAAGTTTAAGTGCCAATGTCACATTAGACTGGACAGCCATTTAGTATTTTGTTTATAGATGTTTTATATAGGACAAAGAGAGGTAATTTTTTCTTGGTGAGCATACAAAATTTAAATTTAGTAGGGTGTTACAAAAGAGATGATTTATAAATATACCAAAATAAATTTAATAAATATGGTTGATTACCTGTTAGAGTCTGTTGATTAGTAAGTTTATTTTAATGTTTATGAAAGTCTTGCAGGTGTTCAAGCCAGCAGCCAAAGAAATTTTTCTTAGTACAGCTAACCCAGTTTGTTGGAAGTTAACCTCATTTACAGTTTCTTAAATATTTTTGCTTGGGCAGTACGCGTAATGGGACCCAATGTACCTCAGATAAGAGCGAAGAGAATCCTTTGTTATAACCCACTTTCCATTAATTTTTTTTTTTTTTTGCACTTTGCGTCACGTGGTATAAAATCACAGGACGGTTCTCACACCTCAACCCTCGTCTGGGTCGATATTCGCCCCCGATTATTTCCGTCGAAAAGAAACAAAGCCAGCGGAAAAAAAAGCAAGCTCACGAGTAAAGTCCAGTAGTAGTGACATTGAATTTCTGGTCGCAAACGCTGTTTCGAAAAGTACAAAATAGTCAATCAAAAAGTCTAGTAGTAACTTTCTTCTACTTCCCAGACGTTTACGGCAGATTTTGATTGACTATTTTGTAAAGGACTATGATCTTAAAAGATCATAGTCCTATACAAATTTAATTGAGTTCAGTTACAAAATAGAGAATTTATACACTGCGTTTACCTACTACAAATTAAACCAACAGTTCTCGGCAATCGCGCGCATTCGCCATTAGATCAACGCTGGCTTTTTTTACGAGTGGTTTGTGCGTGATATGGAAATTAACGTTAGGGTAATTAAGTAAATAAACCCCCTTCTGACTTGCTGATGTGTTGGATAATGTATTTGGCTGAAAGATAGTCCTTCAAATTTCACACTTACCATCAAAGTTTTGCTTCTTGCCAAATATTCATATTTAGGACAATCTCTCAGCTGAGAACATTATAGGTTGACAAGTAGTGGGGAGGGGGGGGGGCGAAACCTCAATAAACCGTACTATTTCTTCATATCCCTCTCCCCCTCCCGCTGGTAGACCCAGTCCTCAAGACTCGAGCCTTCGTTGCGTCAGAGGTGGGGTCACGCTGGGGCCTATCCTGTTTCTTTGTTCTTTGCTGGGCGACATTGACGTCATCATCATCTCGAACATCCTTGAGGTCCGAAAAAAAGTTGTAGTCAGTCTAGACAGGAGTTCATTACTTAATGGGTTCCTGGTCTGGAGGTATAGATAGCTCAAATTATCCGAAGTGCTATCGTAAAGAAGTCACGATCCATCTGCGCTTAGAAGTTGGAGACTCTAAAGGACTCAAATAACGGATCGGCACGCCTGTCAATCCTGGTGCGGAAGAAAACACTTTTTCCCAATCTGTTTACATGGAACGTCAATCGCGGCCTCTGGCATGGCTTGTAAATGGGCGTTTCCTAATTAGGGGTCTGGAAACGCTTTTTTGTCATGCGCCCTTGAACTCGACAGAAGTAGAGTCTTTCACCAACTGGTGGTAGAGCCCACAGAGTTCTGATGGCTCTTCTCATGGCTATTTGTCATAGACAAGTAGTTTGTCAGTAGACAATTAGTTTGTGGACATAAACCTATACCCAATTGAAGAAAAACAAAAATAAAGTAATACATTTCAGTTGAATTCAGTGTTGTGCAGTGCAATGCGATACACTACAATGTAATTCAATAAAATTCATACAATAACACGAAGTGGGTGTTAATTTTACAAAGTCGAATAGCTCAAAAGAAAATAATCCCGGGTTACACACAATAAAAAAAATATATATAAAAACCAACATGTAAATTTGAACGAAAAACAAGAGTTTAAAGAAGCTCAATTAACAATTCCTGTGATACAGAGTGTGCCATTTTTAACTTTAAAAATAGCAACAGTCAAATATCTTTGTAATAAAAATAGTGGGATCATTCGGTGGGTCTCACTTAACCGTCTGGCTTTATTGAAATCCAAGAAAAATGCAAATTAATAATAACTTTACCCAGCAATTGATCCCAGCTTTTGGAAAAAGAGCTCTTTATTCCCTTGACCGGCAGTAAGTGGGGTCTGAAAAACAGTGACACTTAGAAAATAGTCAAAGGAAATGGTTTCCCAAAGTGATGATGTATGACGTTAGACGACAGACACGAAACAAGCCAATCAGCGACGAGAATTAGACCACGTGGGGACGAAAGAAGACAGGGCGCGCTCTTCAAATCTTTCTATTCCGACAACAACGCGTGAGAAGATGGCAGACACTTTTAATCTTCCGACAGAAGAAACTATAAAATTCTTCTTCTTCAATGCTCATGGGAAGTGAAACCCAACGTACACTTTGCGAATTGCAAAGAAGAATGAGCAAACTGGTAAGTAAATTTTTTTTAAAAAAGGTTTCACTTGTGTGAAAATGAAACATAAAATTTCCCACATGAACATGTTGCACGGAGTAACTTGCAGCTCTATCTATTCACTTTTACGCTGACGAAAGAGATTCTGTCACACATAAGTGAGCTCATATTTAATGAAATGTTATCAATTCGATTTTCGTTACAGAACTTACCTAAAAAATTCTTACTTCTTGGCTCTCTTGAGTTCGTCAAATGTAAATGTTGCATCCGTGGAAGCTGACAAACACGCTGCAGAGGAAACAGAAAGAGGTGAGTTATACTCACATTACATTTTTCACATATCACAGTGGAAATTTCTGCACTTAAAACTGAATGCTTAAGCATTGGGAATAATTTATGAGAATTTTTCTAAAAAGTGAAAGTCTCTCAAACACTTCCAGCCGTGATTGACGTTTGGCGCGTAAAAAGCGTACTTGTCTCTAAAACATTTCCTTTATTTTTTGACTAGAAAATTGAATTGTTTCAGTGATAGTAAAACTTGCTGACTCAAACTGCATAATTTGACAAAAATATGGTCTTTTCCGTTCATTTTAAATTGAGAGTTATGTTTTCTGCTTTAGCTTCAGCTTTTTAGTAAAAAAGCATAATTGGCGGCTAACAATTTGAAACATGCAATGGTCACTCGTATCATTAGGGCCCTTTAGCAAACCACGACGGCGACGGCAACGAGGATGTGGCAAAACAAAAGATCTAATGAGCAGAACAATAGCTCAGCACGTACGTTTTAAAACTTTGTACATTTCTTAGTCGTCCTATGCAAAACAACAACGTGAAATTACCACAATTTGCGTCGTCTGCGAACCAAAACCACGACGGCAAATTATTTTCATTTCCATTTGGAAGTCAACGCTTCTTTTATACGTTATACAGAAGTTAAGGTGTGGCGCAGTTAGAGACGGTAAACAAATGCAGCCATTTTTTAAAATCTAATTAAAGGCAGAAATTCATTTTTTAATCGAAGTCTTCCTTGGCTTTACCGTCCTGACTGCTTAAGGTCCCTTATAACAACGTGAAATCATCAGAATTTGCGTGGTCCGAGGAAGGAAACCCTGACGGCAGATTATTTAAGTTTCCATTTGGAACTCAACGTTGCTCTCATACGTTATGTTGGGGTTAACTTGCGGCGCCGTAAGAGACAGTAAACACATTCAGTCGTTCGCGAAATTCCAACTAAAAATACGTATTTTTAAATCGACGTCTTCCTCAGTGTTGCCGCCTTTACTGCTAAAGGTCCCTATTTTAATTTTTAATATTGTTGCTTGTTACACTTTTTTTTCGGGCGTCTCGCCACAAAAAACCCCAATTCGGTCGATTTTTGCTGCCCCCAAGGTAAATGACTAGAAAATTGAACTGTTCAATGACTGTAAAACTTGCGGAGTCAAACTAGATAATTTGACGGCAATGTGGTCTTTTGCGTTCATTTTATAGTGAAAGTTGTGTTTTCTGCTTTAGCTTCAGGTTTTTTAAACGACAAAGCACAATTGGCCGCTAACAATTTGAAACATGCAATGGTCACTCTCATCATTTTAAGCTTTTTATTGCTGTTGCTGGTTAAATTTTTTTTTCGGACGTCTTGCCACAAAAAACCCCTAATTCGGTCGATTTCTGCAGCTTGCAAAGTAAATGACTACAGTTTTAAGGTACTCCTACAGACAGTTTTATCCACACAAAAAAATACCACTATGAAAAAATGAAAATAACATTTTTTGTAATTAACCATCAAACTCTAAAGGTATTCAAATAGGAAACATTTTTTTCTTTTCTTTCGCTGAATGTCGACACAGAATATTCCTGATTTTTGTCATTCCTTTCCTCTACCGTTGTTCTCCTATCTCATGCCGGATTAAAATTCTTAGGAGAAAAAGCATGCACAGCGAAGCAATTTCTCATTAAACAAGTTCATGTAGGTTAAAACTATCTAAAAACTTGCGTTTAGCTGGGTAGGTAAATGTTCCTACACTTGTCAAGATATTTACCGTCCAGGGTTGAAGTTATACTCTAGTCTTATCTGCATTATATGCCTGGCTTCGTTTATTAGTTTCCAAATTTTTAACAGAGACTTGCATATAAATAGCATTCTGTGACAAAGGTGCTGTTTTTAGTTTCCTGTTTATCGTTCATTCACGAATGTATTCGTTTAGACAGTTTGTTATTCATCGATACCTTCGATCATTCATGCCTGCATAACGCATGCAATTACTGACACATTAACTCTGTCTAATCAAAAATAAATAAGCCATTCAATTTTTTTTTGTTGCAGTATGACCATCTCCCTATGGAATGCACCCAAGTTAGTACACCACCTGGTCCGGCCATTACACCACTAAAGCAACAGTGTACCAGCTTGACTCTGATGGGGACATTTTAAGATGTGGGGAATTGGATGGTTGGAAGATGAGACCTAAGGTTTATCTTCACTTCTCTTCAATTTACGCTACATCTTAGGATTTACTCACAGATGTTCAACTGGGAATGAAGATACTGACGGAAGACAAACACAAACTGGTTAGCTCATTCATTTTGGGTTGGAATGGAGGGTTATTAGTTAAAGCTCTGGATGAACCTTATATCAAATTTCGGCCTGAAGTCCATGGACTTCGCATTCGGCTTAATTTAATGTAGTTAAGTTAGTTAGTTGGGTCCCCATGGGTTGGATGGGTCCTCCCTTTAGGTTTCTCCTTTGGGTTCCTTTTCAGGTATTTTCGGCTTAAGTTCGGCATAGGTTCTCGGTTTAGGTTCGGATAGGTTTCGGTTTTGGCTCTCACTTCCGCATCAACTTCAAGACTTTAACTCTTCATCTACATCGACTGGAGCATGGAACCACTACAACGGCTCGTTTGCGGACAGCACAAGCTACTGCGGTGCTAAATCTCCCGCTTAGTCGCGCGCTATAAGGTATTCTTCACTTAAAGTTTCACTTGATAGCAGTCACACAAAGGACTGTCATCCAGTGAGACTCTGTCACCCAAATTATACCAAAAAATTAATTACGGCAAAACCATTTTGGTCTAAAGGTTCAACCAGACATTTACTTATTGTAAGTAACTGGAGATTTTAAGCCATTCAGCTGACGGAGTATGCCCATTTGCTACTTCTATCATGTTTAGTGGTTTAGCTCCAGTTGAAGCCGCCAGTCGAGGCTTCATTTGGTGGGAAATAGGAGTTATGCACACACGACAGTTAGGTCACAAAAAAATTAAGCCAATTGTACAGTGTATTGTGATGGCTTGAAAGCTGTCAGTCAAATTTTGGGCCGTTGTTTTGTTTCAAGTTTACAACTCGACAATTATCTTATCATGTCGCCAAATTTGTTGAGAAATCAAGCTGTCATCTAACAACACAAATTACTTGAGGATGCATCAGTGGAGAGGAAAGCTTTTGAGTTAGAAAAAAACGGCCAATAAATGAACTATTAGCTTTTTACACACACTCTAGGCCAATTTTCTTAACATAACAGCAAACTTGCTGTCCACCAAATTGTTGTAAATAATATTGACTCTCAACTAAACACATGGATCACTCAGGGAGCTACCATGAAGCAGGTAAGGTCAGCAGGTACGTGGACTCTTTATTTTTTCCCTTCGGCTACTCAGCACTTTCGAAACTCGCTGCCGTCATCATTTCCGGCTTTCGGTTCAAAACAAAATTGGCATCCAATTAACAATATTTGTTAAAGAGGCCTGGTAGCGACAACACTGTTAGCAGGCCGCACGTGATCCATACGCCATCTGGGACACCCTGAAAGTTCTGTCGCGGTGTCGACATTTACTGACACGGGAACACTAGAGGTTTCCTCAGATGGTAAAGTTTTCGCTTAGGAATGCGCGTCCCAGCCATACACACTTAAAGAAATGATGTAACATTTTCACAATAATAAAAACAGAAAAGCCTGTGTCTGTGTCCATTACTGTATTTAGATAAAATAAAAACTACTAACAGTCTTTTTTTTCAGGAACCTTTTTCACTGTAAACTAGAAACTACTGACATAACTCTTTTTTTCAGGAAAAATTTACTTTTTCAGCTAATAATGCAAACCATGCAAAAAAAAACGTTAATCTGCTGACAGTTTAGGAACTTAGGAATGCGCGTGCCACCCATACACACTAAAAGAAATGATGTAACATTTTCACAATAATAAAAACTGAAAAGCCTGTGTCTGTGTCCATTACTGTATTTAGATAAAATAAATACTACTAACAGTCTTTTTTTTCAGGAACCTTTTTCACTGTAAACTAGAAACTACTGACATAACTCTTTTTTTCAGGAAAAATTTACTTTTTCAGCTAATAATGCAAACCATGCAAAAAAAAACGTTAATCTGCTGACAGTTTAGGAACTTAGGAATGCGCGTGCCACCCATACACACTAAAAGAAATGATGTAACATTTTCACAATAATAAAAACTGAAAAGCCTGTGTCTGTGTCCATTACTGTATTTAGATAAAATAAAAACTACTAACAGTCTTTTTTTTCAGGAAAATTTTTCACTCTAAACTAAAAACTACTAACATTACTCTTTTTTTCAGGAAAAATTTACTTTTTCAGCTAATAATGAAAACCATGCAAAAAAAACGTTCATCTGCTGACAATTTAGGAACTTGGGAATGCGCGTGCCACCCATACACACTATAAGAAATGATGTAACACTTTCACTATAATAAAAACTGAAAAGCCTGTGTCTGTGTCCATTATTGTATTTAGATAAATTAAAAACTACTAACATCATTTTTTTCAGGAAAAAACAATGCAAATCATGCAAAAAATCTACTAACAGTTTTTTTTCCGGGATAATTAGACGAACATAGGTCACACGATGTAAATAGTTTGAAAAAAAAATAAAAACATAAAGAACAGTGTCTGAGTAATTTTTTTAAATGTTGGATAAAAACTTCTAACAGTTTTTCAGGACTGTTTCTGTCAGCTGGTATTATGCACGAACGCCACGCAACACCTAATTTAAAATCTACTGACATTTTAATTTCAGGATATCTGGACTTGGTTCATCATGTAAACATGGTTCAAAAACAATAAAATCCAGAGACCTATTTGTCATGTTATCACAGAAAAAAAAACACAATTAACAAAGTTTACTTTTCAGGACATAAAAAGACTAACACTGTTTACTTTCAAGAGCACACTTGTCCACAAATTATGCCACTTTTGGGGCATTCCTACAGCTACTGGAAAGGTAAGCCTTGTAATAATGTATAATCGTGGTACTGACAAA